ACCGTGCCTTCAGCTCCCCTCTTGACTCTCTACCCCCTCCTCGCTCCTTCCCTCCCCTCGCCCTGACCATTTCACCCCTGCGCGGGTCCCGGCCCAACTGTCCAGCGCCTTGGGACGTCCTCCCGACGTGAAAGGCGCTCTATAAATGAAATGTTGTTGTTTACTGTAAGTTATGATTCTCTAACCATCAGTATTGTATGTCACGATGTATATAAAACATTCACAAACTGAAAGGCTATGAAGAGTTTTAAGAGACTGCAGATCCTAATAGAGGTCAAGCTTGTGGCATATAAGACCTGTGTGCAAACAGTCCTCCTTTATGGATTCGAGCTCCTGGGGATGCAGTGGCGAGGCTTCCTCTGACCCAATTGTGAAGTCCAGAATCAAGCAGTGACGTGGATTTATGGTAAACACAGAAAGGGGGTGCAGGGTGGGAGGGCTCCAGCCTAGACTGAAAATGAGTTTGAGATCCAGTCACATTAAGAAAGTTAGCCTGGAAGAAAAACTCAGATTTCAGGTGATTATTCTTTCAGTAAACAATCTACTGAATGTGGACTGTTTACTAAATGTGGTCCCATTGCGTAACTAAAGGGATTAGTCAAATCAGATTAGGATTGGAAGAACTGCACATTTACAAACTCGTGTTTTTCTGACTGAAAATAGGGGAAGACATTTAATTTCCTGACTTGTTCCTTTACATGCAAATGTATGTTATTACAATCTCCATCCTGTTCAAGGCATTCATGAACAATGTGTCATGTATGTGCCAATGTTAAATCATTAAATGTAGCTGTTTGGAAGAAAATGAATAGACCAAAATACCATATTGGGTTATTTTTTCTAGGGTGCTGTCATCCAATGAATAGAGAATAGTTTTGCAGAAATCCTTTCTGAGGATTTTTACTTGTAAGGTTTTCTGGAGGTGCCCAGTGCGCTATTTTAGATGGATTGATCAGAAACTTGAGTTGGTTGTGAGCTGGTACTTGATCAGCACTAGGTGAACTCCATGGCAAATTCAAGCCATTATATACAAAATTGCATTTGTATAGCACCTTTCATGTCGGGAGGACTTCCCAAGGCGCTGAACATTACAAAATTGGTTTGTATGAAAAAGATCCTTTGGCTCATTCCATCTCATTCTTCCAGAACACCCACCCTACCCATGTTTTAATTTAAATATGTCCAGTGCCCTGGCCTCTATCACCTTTCCTTCCAGTTATTGATTGCCGTCTGAGTAAAGAAAAACGTCCTGGTGTCTGTCCTGAAATTGCCCTTTGAAACTGTAAACCTATGTCCTCTTGTTCCAATCTTGTGTTGCATCCTAAATTATTGATCTGGGTTTACATTTTGAATCCCACATGTTCACTTCTATGAGATTCCCTCTGCGTCGTCTTTGCTCGAGATGGAAAAGCCCAGGTTTATCTAATTGTTGCGCATTGCTATAATATTGGGGATTATTTTGTTGCTGTCATGTACACTCTTCTTTGGCTGACCCCTTATGTCGTGGTGACTAAAACTGTATTCGATTTAGCAATATAGCCCAGCATCCTGTCTGTCTTGTTTATTGCTGCTTCAAACTGTTTTGACATAATGAGCAATGAGTCAACTAACACCCCTAGATCTCTTTCAGCTTCCGCTTGGCAAGTTCTATCCCATCCTTGGAGTACTTGTGTTTGTATTATTATTATTTATTGTATTAAGCTTAATTTGCCAGCAATCAGCCCATATGCATACCCTATCAAGCTCTCTTTGTAGGACCTTTGCTGCCTCCTCTGATTCCACAGTTTCACCCTCTTTCTTGCGAGCCCCCACCCTCTCCCCCTCCCCCATTTGAGTATCTTACTTTGAGTTAATTCAGATCACTGATATATATAAGGAAAAGGAGTGGTCTCAGGCCCGCCTAAGACACCCCGCTTAATACCTGTAGCTCAGTGGTTAGAGCACTCGCTTTGCAAGCGAGAGACCCGGGTTCAATTCCAGTCAGGGCGAAACCTTGGGCAAGTTTCCTTACTCCACACAGAGCCTAATAATAATCCCTCCAAAACCAAAAAACAATAATAAATTGGTCATTTTCAATCTACGACTGTTTGTGGGACATTGCTGTGCGCAATTGGCTGCTGCGTTCGCCCACAAATATACAGTCAATTCACTTTATAGTGTGTTCTGTGAAGCGCTTTGGGACGTCCTCCCGATGTGAAAAGCGCTACATCAAATGCAAGGATTATTATTACCTCTCCCTATTTGATCTAGCTCCCTTAACACAGACCATCTGCTTTCTTCCTTTCAGCCAATTTGTAATCTATGTCCTGTCTTGACCTTGAGACCCAGTGGCCATCGTCTTTTGTGTAGTCCTTTGGCAAATATCTTTGAAAGTCTAGTTATACTACATCAAATGGCTTTCCACAGTCAATTTGGGCTGTCAACATCTATGAATATATATCATCGTACCTTAACTGAAGGATTGTCGTCTTCTCCCTTTTGTTGTGTGTTTTTTCTTCAATTTCCATCAAACAATGTTTCTTTTTTATATAAGTATTTAACATTTTGATTGTAAACACTGTGACACACGCCTGACATGGAGCAAGACTGTTTCCCGCACTCAGAAAATAGTTTCAACGAGTGCTGAACCTCATCATCCAGCCAGAGCACATTCTGTTTCCATAGTGATTCATTTTAGAGCAGTGAGCGTTGGATAAAATAACTTTTTCTTTACAAAAAAATGTAATAACAGCTTAACCACAACCGCATAATTTTAACAAAATCAACTGAATGTTTAAAAAAAATTAACGGTACACCACTTTTTATTTGCCTCATTGCTTTTCTGTCTTCCTACATATCAATGCTAATGATTTGGATTCTTAGAGAATAAACATCTCAGATGCTGCCAATACAAACCTGATCAGCTCTTATGCTATGAGTATTATAACTGTAAAACCAGCAGTCTAAACCTATAGTGCCATCCATAGAGCATTGGCTATGTTAATAGCTATTAACTGCCTCAAACACAAAGATTTTGGTTCATTATGGATATTCCCTGTAACTATGAAAGGTAGACAGCAGTGGTAAGGGGTAACATTGTGTTCTACAACATCTTATTCAATTATGAAAATCTATGTTTTTTGCTGGGTAAGAATACTTGCGGTTGATCTTAAAAACTAACTCAGGAAACATTTTAGCACTATTCTAATGTTTTAATTCTAGTTTATGGAACAAAAAATATACTAAATCATGGAGTGTGAACAATAACAACAATAACAAGATTTCATTTATAGAGCGCTTTTCACGTCAGGAGGACGTCCCAAGGCGCTGGACAGTTGGGTCAGGACCCGAGCAGGAGGGAAATGGTCAGGGGGAGGGAAGGGAGGGAGCGAGGAGGGGGTAGAGAGTCGAGAGGGGAGCTGAAGGCACGGTCAAAGAGAAAGGTCTTGAGACCGGCCTTGAAGGAGGAAAGGGAGGAAGCAAGGCGAAGGCACTGAGGGATGGAGTAAATAACCATTTATTATAAGCGCATGCATTATTGGGTGGTCAACCGGGTGTCTTGACGCATGTGGAAACCCTTCACCATGCTTAAGAGTATCCAAAAGAAACTGAAAATTCCATATATCCCACCTACACATCCCAGAGATAGATTGTTGGGATGGAATGTGCAGTTTCTCCCTGGAGGGATGCATCCTGCTTACCTAATTCCAGAAAGTATTAGGCATAGGTTGGCAAGAGCCAAGGCTTGGGGAGCCAAGGCTTGGGGACCCCAAAGTGTGCTGTGCATTGGGGTACTGCTGGAGTCTTAACCAGCTAAATCCGTAAAGCTTGCCATATGCATTTGATATAGCCCTTAAACCTGTCAAAGTGCTGCAATTGCAGTCAACTATAGTGACGGTATTCAATCAATTATTATTACATCAATTTTAGATATATAATATGCCAAATTGTATTGTTTATATAGTATCACCAAATTTCAATAAAAACAAATTGAAAGGGGTTGAAAGGTGGTTTTGATGGTGACTATTCTGGTTTCCAAGCCACTTTGTTTAACACTACTATTTTTGATGCTTTCCAAACTAGGAGAAGTGGGTTCTGAGTTTGGTTAGAAAAACATTTCATCATTCTGGGCTAGATTCAAGCCCGTCTCAGATGTGATCATCTTTTGTAGGATGCATGTTTCCTGATTGATGAGTTTGGGCAGCCTCAAGGCTATTCCTCTTGGCTTCAAGTCCAGAACATAAAACTGAATCATTTTGCATAATTGGCACAACTATTGAAGCATCAGCCAGCCTGCTGTGATAGCTGTTGTGTAGAATGGAAAATTCCTGGTACTGAAGGGGATGATTTTCTGACTTGGGAACCATTGTTGGGACAGAGTCAAAAGAGCTTTTAAATTGCTCTTGATTTTACTTACTTTACAAGACGTTTCCAGGAATCCTTCATAGCTGAAAACATAAAATGAAGAATAATCCTTGCACTGACATACCTTATAAGGAATATCTCAGATCATTTTGCAATAATTATTGTAAAGTGTTGTGACTATGTATTTGTAAACAAACAGCAGTCAATTTGGGTACAGGAAGGTTGCACAAAGCCAGGAGGTGAATGCCCAATTTAATTGGAGGATTGTTGGCTATAAGTCTGGAAAGAACTCCATATTCTTTTCAAATAGTGTTGTGTGTTCTCTAATGTCCACCTAACTAGGCAACTGAGTTGTCGGTTGAACATCTCATCCAAAAGATGAGACCATCATGTCAACCTAGACTTTGAGCTCAAAATCCTGATGTGGATTTGAACCACAACTTTCTGAAACAAAGGCAAGACTGACAACTTGCTGTGCCTAACTAACAAGTTTTGTCTGAGTGATTGAACCTCCTCTGATTCTGCAGGCAGGCCTGAGTGTTGTTGGATTATTAACCAATTAATTAAGTTAATGCAGTATTTTTGTGTAATTTATTATGTGTATGAGTTTTCTGTATATTTGTACTGGCTCCTAAAAATTTCTCTGCTTTTTCCAGATTCTAAATGGCCTCTAGGAAATCGGGATCAGATTTTCAAAACTCTGGTATGTTAATCAATGTCTTAAGAGTTGAATGTAATAGATGTTAAAACAATGGTTTTGTTCAGCCTTTATACCAAGATGGATTGCATCATTTAAGATAGTGAAATAAATAGGACTACTGACGAACAGTAATAATAATCCCCCCACCCAGTTTGGCGTCCAGCCGCAACCCTATATAGTGATCTGAGATATTATTTTATGTGAAGGTTGCTACATAAATATCCTCCCATGTTTTCAAGTATCTCTGCATTGCATACCTTCTTTCTTCATGAAGCTTTTCTGAATAGATTATGCTTTCCTGAACCTTTTATTAAAAATAATATAAATAATTGCCTTATTTTTCTTCCCTTTCTTTTCCAATCTGTTTCGCCCACAAAATACACAATCAGTCCACTTTACAATATATTCTGCCATAAGGCCATATATCAAATGCAAGGATTATTATTACTATTAATAATCCATGTAGCATGTACACATGCACATTTTGAGGTTAATTGTAATGTTTCATTGACCAACCACTAAGATAATCTAAAAATTTAGCTTGCTCTTTTACTTCAAGGGAAAAACACCAGTTGGGTATTTAAAAATATCCTACCTAGTTGAACATTGTCATCTGTAGATATTTCTGTATAAATTGTTACTAGTATTTCAATATTTTTGATACTTTACTTTGGTGCCCCAAAGGAGTATATCAGGGCAGCTGGTCTTATCCTTAAGAATTTGTCTAAAAATGACAGATGTAAGAATGATTTATTTTGAAGAAAAGTAACTATTTAAATAAAATAACATCTCACCTCACTAGATGACTAGCTGCCACACATCTAGGGTGAGGATCCTTACCTAGCTTTTGCTTCTAGCACAGAGTAACTTAGAATGCTGTGTGGTAGGTGGTGCTGAGAGCTGAGGTAAAGAAAAGATGGGGTATGTTTCAGTGCTTAGTCTCAGAAATGCAGTAAAGGTGCTGAATAACTCCAATCAACTGGTGTCAGCTTGACTCAGCGAACAAATTGCATGCCGCATTCTCCTACAAAATGTACAATCTTGATACTAAAATCCTATGAAGCGTTTTGAAAGGCACTCCTGACGTTAAAGGCACTATGTTAAATACAAGTGTTATTATAACTACAGATCCATGCTGTGTATTAAAATTGTTTTGATATTGCATGCAGGAGTGTATTTTTCAATGAGGCTAACAACAGCACTGACTTGCATTTGCCTTCTTTATGTCAACTGCTCTACCACCTCCACCAACGATGGTCAACCTCTCCAACCTACTATCCCCCTACCTACCTGCCCGTACCCTCCGTTCCTCTGGCTCCGGTCTGCTCCACGTCCCCCGCCCCAACCGCCCTACTATCGGTGGTCGGGCCTTCAGCCTCTCAGCCCCCAGGCTCTGGAACTCCATCCCCCAGTGCCTTCGCCTTGCTTCCTCCCTTTCCTCCTTCAAGGCCGGTCTCAAAACCTTTCTCTTTGACCGTGCCTTCAGCTCCCCTCTCGACTCTCTTCCTCCTCCTCGCTCCCTCCCTTCCCTCCCCTCACCCTGACCATTTCCCCCCTCCTCTCTCCCTCCCTTCCCTCCCCTCACCCTGACCATTTCCCCCCTGCTCGGGTCATGACCCAACTGTGCAGCGCCTTGGGACGTCCTCCTGACGTGAAAGGCGCTCTATAAATGGAATCTTGTTGTTGTTGTTGTTGTCAGGCTTTCAGCCTATCTGCTCCCAATCCCTGGAAACCCATCCCAGAGTCCTTTCGACTCCCTCCATCCCTCCCTCCTTTTCTAGAAGGTCCATTTCAAGACCTACTTCTTTGCCTATGCTTTTGGTCATCTTTCCCCTTCTTGTTCCCCTTAGTTCCCTCCCCCAGCTCGGGTGCTGTGAAAGGAGCTACATAAATGAAAATTCGTATCGCATTTGTATAACCCTCTTCATGCTGGGTAGCATCTCAGAGCGAGATAAAACTATTCCCCACGCATATCCACAATGTTCATCTACATATAGTTTGCAATGTATTTTCACTGATTAAAATAATTGGGCTGTGGATTAAGCGATTTTTTTTAAACAAAATTACTCATCCAAAAGTGTAATGACCTTGGCTATGTTTCATGTGAAACATGTATTGTAATTTCTGGCAGCAAAGGAATGGGGGAATTGAGCAATAGAAAGAGGAAAAAAATAGAATTACTTACCCTTCAGTCGTATTGAACTTGCACTAAACGTATTGATGAGATTCCACGACACAGGTATGCTGCCCTCATTCTTGAATCTGAAAAGGAAAATGGAAAAATTATGCTGCAGGTTTCCATTATGTTGCTTTTAACACAAGAATTGATAGAATTGTAAGCCTGTAAGTACAGACCATGTATAGGGTGTCCACAAAGTCCTCTTACCCCATGTTACAAATAGCGATACAAGACCAGAGAGGAGCTGAAACAAGCTGTCAGATTCATTTTGTCTCGTCACTCCCATTATGTTACGGAAAATGTCACACAGAACATGGTGATGGATCATTTATCTGCCATGAAAATTATGGTGCTCACACCGTTCCTCTGGATGTCTAAATACAGTGAAACACTTTATTTAAATGTACTGAATGCAATTAAGTACAATGAAGTACTTCTAAATAATTACAATTATTATCATTCTTCCACATGTTTCAGTTAGTCAGCGCACTATATATTAAAAAAATGGGGTTACCTTTGTACTTTATAGCACTAAGGGGTTGTTTCACTGAATGTCTGGCTATTCCTATGCCCCTATTGAATACCAAGATCTGGCAAATGCTGGTCAGTTTTGCAGACACTGCAGAACCAGAGGAATTGGAAATATACTTTACATTTTTGACAATGTATGAAAGATGGGAAGGAATGATTTGCTTTAAAGTTCAGATGGATAAATATAAAGAAACCCTTACATTAAGCCCTAAAATGGCAGCCATATTTAGGCAGCGATGTAACATGATCATTGCTGCACTCTCCTGCATAATGCAACATGGGGCCCTCACTGGAGGACAAGAATTCAGAATTCTTAAAATATCTCTGTGCACTTGATGGATAATATTATTATTATTGGTTCAGAAGCCTTATAACAAAATATCTCTTGTTTCAGGAGGGACATTCAGTTATCTTGATGATGTCCCATTTAGGGTTGGTGATAAATTCAAGATTCCTGCAAAAGTGGGCTTTCCTGTTGGATTTTGTATACCAGACTATTCTGTATTGCTGAAAGAAACTCATGTGAGTATGAATAATTTCTCTTTGAGTGGGGGAAGGGGAAATTGGGGATGGGGTGGTTGAGAGAGACACTTTTGACACATTATGAAGAGGATGGCAGTGATGGGGATTGCTGCTTTGTGATTTATGAAACCAGGAAAGCATCAACTTATATAGTTCAGAAGCCTTATAACAAAATATCAATTTTTTCAGGATTTCATCAACACAATATAGAATATATTTTCCTTCATCCGTCACTGTGCCTCAATATGTGGAGGAGAGAAATAACTTTTTACTGTAACAAAATCAACAACTTAGATTTATATAGCACCTTCATGCCATCCAGGTTTTGGAGTGCTTAACAATACAATGCAACATTACATTTGTATATAGCGCCTTTCATGTGAAAGGTGGACAGTGGTGGATCCTGAGCCAGGGAAGGATTGACAGTAAGTATAGTCAAAGAGGAAGATCTTCAGTCGTGATCTGAAAGAAGGGAAGGAGGGGACAAAGCGGAGGGATTGGGCAAGAGATTTCCAAAGCTTCAGGGCACAATGGCTGAAAGTGCATTCACCGATGGTGAAGGAGATGGGGGACAATCAGGAGGCCAGAACCAGATGAGGGTAGGCAGCAGGTAGTGGACTGGGGAGAAAGCGGGTCAGAAAGGTAGGGAGGTGCCAGAGCATGAGGGGATTGTTGACGAGTGAGAGGATCTTGGAATCAATCCCTTTTGTGATATTACTACATTGTTCAAGGAAACTATAATGTGCTTCTTGCTGAGTTACCATTGCATTGAATATATACATGAGTAAGCTGCTTCATCTTTTTCTTCTGAACGAGAACAGCATTGTTTCACAGTGCTAAACAGGGTGGTTGGAGTATGGGAGAGAAACGTGGGAGAATTACAAAACATTCAAATTATCTTAGTAAAAGCTGCATCGGTATTTTACCAGGACTGTGGATGTAGGAGGAGCAGTTCAAACTAGTTTGAACTTGTTTATTGAATAATTATGACTTCCAATGAGATCATCTTTGAATCTGAAGATTAAAGATGACTGTTTAAGCCTTTGAAATAACAAACAAGCAAAACTCCAATTGTAGTTCATGGATCAAGTGGGATTAGGTCATGTACTGTTGTGAACCACCGTGGCTATCTCACCAACATCGTTCTGTCTAGGATGAATCTGATAATCTGCAGTGATGTATGCTACAGACACCCAGCTTGCTGACATTTAAAATCCATATGAAGTTGCCATTTCTCATGTTTTCTGAAAAAGTGGCATCGATGATGAAGGTTTTTCGTAAAAAATGTTTTCATAAAACAATTCTGATTTCACATGTTTGTCCAATATACTCATTTAGTATATGTAAACTTTCTATGAAGATTGATTTTTCTTTCACCATCTTTTCCTTTCTGGATGCTGGATGATGTAGTACTGTTTGTGGGACACTGCTGTGCGCAATTGGCTGCCGGGTTTCGCCCACAACTATACAGTCAATTCACTTTACAGCATATTCTGTGAAGCGTTTTGAGACATTTAGAAGATGTGAAAAGATGTCAAATGCAAGGATTATTTTATTTATTATATCAAATGCAATGATTATTATTATTTATCCTGCTGCTTTGGGAAGGTCTTTTCTTAGAAGTGGTGTCAGACGTTATTGGATCATCCTGTGGTTTGACTCTGGATTTTTTAAATATGTATTTATTGTGGAGTGAAGTAGTGGTGCTTTAGTTGGGAATCTGTGTGTGCATATGGCCTAACCTGTGAAGTAAGTGACTATTCCCAGTAATACTTTATAGTGGTCTGAGGAAAATAATCTGTCTTCACTGTGACCGAACAATTTAAACCTGGCAGAATTTTTGTTCTTGTAGCCTGAATTCCTCTCATTGGACGGTCAGCTCAGCTATCCAATATCTGGCGATAATAATAAAGATGATAATGATAATTTGCTATAGCACCTTTTGCGTCAGCCCAACATCCTGAAGTGCTTCACAGGATTGTAAAGTGCAATGACTGTGTGTTTGTCAGAAAACACAACAGCTAATTTTGCACAGCAGTGTCCCACAAACAGCCATGAAGTGAATTAACAATTTTATTCATATGGGGAACTATTGGCCAGGACACCGAGGAAAACTCCCTTGTCTTTTTTAAGAGTGCCATGGGAACTTTAACATCCATCTAAACAGTTTAGGTCACATCTGAAGGATTGCACATCCGATAATACATCACACCCCCAGCACTATACTGGAGTATGAGCTTATATGTGTTTCAAGTCCTGCTGAGGGACTTGAGTCCACAACCTTCTGACTCAAGACAAGAATGCTACTAACTGAAACACCAGCTGAGCCAGGCTAAATATTTAAAGAGTACATCAATTTGGAATTGTAACTTTCCATGATGGGAAGACTCAGGATGTTTTGAAATAATAATAATAATTATCCTTGCATTTGATATAGCGCTTTTCATGTCGGGAGGACGTCCCAAAGCGCTTCACAGAACACACTGTAAAGTGAATTGACTGTATATTTGTGGGCGAACGCGGCAGCCAATTGCGCACTGCAATGTCCCACAAACAGTCGTGGATTGAAAATGACCAATTTATTATTTTGTTTTTTGGAGGAATTATTATTAGGCGTGTGGAGTAGGGAAACTTGCCCAAGATTTCGCCCTGCCTGGAATTGAACTCGGTCTCTCGCTCAGGTCTCTAACCGTCATGAAATGAAAAATTCCCCCAAATATGTCATTGTCTGAAATATGACTTCCTGTTTGTACAAAAGTGTTTTTCAAACTATTCTTACATTGGAAGTTGGTGGCTTTATAGGTTTTTAAAAAATAAAGTTGGATAATGGAGTGCTCTTGTGTTTTTTGCCTACTATTGTTGCATGATTTTAGTGAAGTATTTCCACACTAATATATTTTCTTCCTTTTTTTATATAGTACAATTTCTCCTTAGAGAAAAAAACAAACAAATGGGCTGAAGAAATTAAACGAATCAAAGCTGAACAAGAGGCAGCCAATCTAAGCAAAGAGGCATCTGCAATGACTGCAAAAGGTGAGACACTGTCAGAGAACAGTAGTGGAATTCAGTACACGGATGGACCACTTTCTAGAGCATTTCCACCACCGATGAACCCCATACTTGCCAGTCTAAGGCACAACAACATTCTAACCCCAATGCCAGCAAACAGCAATGCTGTAAAGCAAAAAGACCCAAGTCCCCCGAATGCAACTACATTTAACCTTGCAGACTTTGAAAGTGAGGAAGATCCTTTTGATAAACTGGAGCTGAAAACACTAAACGATAAAGAGGAACTTAAAAATATTCTTGAGGTTCAGGCCAGTTCACGACAAGTGATTAATTCACAGCCGGATAATGGACTGGAAATACAAGTCGTGGGACTCGCAGACACATTACCAGGCCCTGAAGTGCATGTCTCCACAGAGGAGGTTACCTCAGACTTCAAAGCTCTTCACAAGCCAAATGGCCTCATAAATTTACCACAGTTGGAGAACTGTGAAAAAGTGCCCCTTTCTGCCAAAGTATCTCTTCCACCTTCTTCAGCTGTCAGCAATATCAAATCTCTATCCTTTCCCAAATTGGAATCTGACGAGAGTGACCTGAAGACTGCTAAGCTCACGGGCACTTTTCACAGCACAAGCCTCCCCAATGGCACCTTGTTTAGTTCTGTGAAGAACGGTGACCAGTACAAAGTCAGTGGTTTGAATGGTCATCATTCCACTGTTGCATCCATGAGGTCCTCCTCAAGCTTTGACCTCACCACACACCCGTCATCTTCCAGGACAAATGCTTCACCAGTTCTGTCGAGACCTGGAAGAGAGTCCTCATCTCACAAATCGGCGACAGTGGTAAGAAGCAGTTTTCGAATGAACTTGTATTGATTCCTAATTGCAGATTCTGACTGTTAATAATCAAGGTTGGATATTTAATAACACACCCTCAAAAAAATAAGAGTATTTTGTTCTATGTGTCTCAGCAAATATCCGACCACTCCTCTGCTGAAGGCACCAGGCTCTTTTGTATTTTATTGTGATACCAATATGGTGTCTTCAGGTGCTTCGCCCAAGTGACCATTATTCATAGATTCATAGAATGTTACGGCACAGAAGGAGACCATTCAGCCCATCAAGTCTGTGCCGGCTCTTTGACAGAGCAAGTCACTTTCACTAACCTCGATCACCAACGTTCTCCCCATAACCCTGCAAACCCGTCTTCCCCAGATACCTATCCATTTCTCTCTTAAAAGCTGTTATCGAATCGGACTTCACTACCCTTTCGGGCAGATCATTCCAAATTCGAACAACTCGCTGAGTGAAAACATTTCTTCTAACCTCCCCTCTGCTTCTTTTGGTAGATATCTTCAGACTGTGACCACAGGTCACAGCCACACCTACCAGCGGAAACAGCTTTTCCTTATCTAGCCTGTCAAAACCTGATTCATGTGTGATCTTTGACAGTGGGAGATTGTGTCACATAATTGCCCAATGCTAGGAGGAATGTGAATAATGATCAGCAGAGGAAACACTCTGGAACACTAACCTGTATGAAGGGCACTGTATAAATGCAAGTTGTTGTTGAAACCCTTGCTGATTTTACCCTCTGTAACCGGTGACATTGAGTCCCAACTGCTGCCTGACTCAAATAATAATAATGTAATAATCATTGCTTTGATAGAGTGCCTTATCATGTTTTGAGACATCTCAAAGCACTTTACAGAAAATACTGAAAAGTGAATTTACTGTATATTTTGTGGCGAAGTACAGCAGCCAATTATGCACAGCAGTGTCCCACAAACAGTCATGGATTGAGTGACCCAATTGTTTTTTAAGGGATTATTACCCTGGAAAAGCAAACCTGCAGCCTTCTAATCTTTGTAGCCTTTACCCACTATCCATGACTATCCCTAATGATACATTCTTTTTTGAAGAAATTGTAACAGAATCTGCCTGAGTTCTTTCAGACCAACCTATCTCCTTTACTGCTTAGTGAAAGGTTGGCATACATAATTATATTACAGTATGTCTTGCATTTGATTATAGCGCTCTTCTGGTTGGGAGGATGTTTCGAAGAGCTTCACAGGATTTTACTGTAAAGTATATTTTGTAGGCGAATGCAGCAGACAATTTGCATATGGCAGTGTCACACGAACAGCCATGAAATGAATGACCAATTTGATTTGGGGGATAGTTTTCGAATGTGATCTTTAACATCCATGTGAGCAGATGGACAGGCCTTGGTGTAATGTCTCCTCCAAAGCACCTCAAACAATCTAACACTTTTTCAGCATTGCAATAGAGTGTTAGCCTCCTCTGTGAGCTCAAAATCCCAAAGTGGGACTTGAACTCTTTCAGCCTTCTGACTCAGAAGTGAGCTTGCTGAGTCAGGCCGATAACATGCTTCGATTTACCAGCAGGAGCTCCTAGCACTATTTGTGCACCACAATGTTCATACCAAAGTAATTGGACTAACGTTTGTAGTTTAGTTGCCTCTTAAAATCATGTCTTTGCACAAGAACCATTTGACTTTGCTTATGAGTTTTGTTTCAGTAATGATCAGGATCTCCCATGGTTTGATGCATTGCGTCACAATGTTTTCCCAAAGTTAAACATAAGGGAACCATGTTAAGAATAATTATTTTATGCTACATTAAAGCTTCAAATTTCAATGCTAGTTTTTTCTCATACTCAAAAACATTTGAAGTATTACAATATTGTTTTGCTGCACAAATCAATATTTGTGTTAGTTTCTTGAAATATGTTTCCATTCCTCCTTCCCTAATTCATCATTCTTACAGAGACCATGAGTTGTCTATTTCCAGGGTTGTACTAAGTATGCATCTTAACTGACAGTACAAATGTGTGGTGTGATTTTTTTTGTTCTATTGAATTGCTCATGATTTTGGCTGCTGGAAATTATTTGGTTTATGAGCTGCTATCCATCAAATCTCAAATGACCAACTTGTGATTATCCCCATGGGTGAGAGGGGTTGGGGGGTGGGAGGGAAGAGTTGGAGCTGAGTTGGAGCTCCACACTCCTGTGCTAAGCAATGGAATGTCGGAATTGAGACAGCCCTCTGGCAGATTTGGTGGCCTGGCTCTATAGCTGACAATAAACCAGCCAGCCTGGCTCCTCGACAAGGCATGGCGGGGCAGATGGGTCACTGGACGATAGATCTTCTCACTTGGTTGGTACAGATATGGTCCCGATCTGTGAGCATCAGCAGCTTTTGTAAGCCCCCAGTAAGCCCACAGTGAGCATTCACCGAGAAAATACAATCACCCCACTGTACTGATGTGTTCCGACATCCTTCTGACGCAAAGAGCGCTATATCAAATGTAAGGATTATTATTAGGTTAAGTAAAATTGGATAATTGAGACCATTTGCAAGTCTCCGTTGCAGTTGACGGTTATCAGTGCAGAAGGAGGAAATGAGGGCTCAGAAGGCTTTCTCGCATCGTTATCAAGAAGACCATTGATGACGTCTGGTCTTGACCATTCTTTCTTGACACTCTCATTCTTTCAACACATTCACTGTTTTTTCCATTGGAGAAATTCAGTGAGATCAAGAAGAGAGCTGAGCCACCAATGATGTGATCTTTATCTCCATTGCTAATCATTTCAATTTCCACCTCCCACTCTTTCTATCATGAGCCTTTTATGCAGCTCCAGTAAAGCTCCACAAAGGCCAGAATAGCGAAGTGAAGAATGCCCTTTGGACTATTTGATCTCATCATTTCATCATCCATTCCATAAGACCCGATATCAAATGTTATTACCCAACTCCTCCCTCCACAGGCTGCAGATAATCCAGAACTCTGCAGCCCGTGTCCTCTCCCGCACCAATCTCCGTGACCCCATCTCCCCCATTCTCGCCCGACTCCATCGGCTCCCTATCCTTCAGAGGATCCAATTCAAGATCCTGGTCCTCACCTACAAAGCCCTCAATGGCCTCACCCCACCCTACCTCTGCGACCTCCTAATGCCCTACCAACCTCCACTCAGCGGCTCTGGCCTGCTCCACGTTCCCTGACCCACCCACCCCACCATTGGCGGGAGAGTCTTCAGCTACTCTGCCCCCAACCTCTGGAATTCCATTCCCCCAATCACTCCGCCTCGCCCCCTCCTTAACCTCCTTCAAGTCCTGTCTCAAATCATGCCATCAGTCACCTCCCTTCTCCCTCCCTGACCCCAGCTCGGGTCTGAAATGCTGTACACTGTCCAGTGCCTTGGGACGTCCTCCCGACATGTAAGGCCTCATACAAATGTAATCTTGTTATTGTCATTACTGTATTGAGATGTTTCACAAATGAGTCAAGTCTCCTACTGCCCTTCCCAATAACCTGTTCATAATGAAGTGAAGTAATGCTTGTTAATATCTTAAAATTCGCAACACTGAACCTGTGCCTCAGCATCTTTTTTTAAATTCTTTAGCTGACATGCCGCAACATTGGTTTACATCTTCAGCTGCATAGATATATTATTATGTAGTAAAATAAGTTAAAGTCCAGAAACTTTGGAGTTATTTTCTTTTGGATACTGAATTGACCGCTGTGGATTTACTGTTACAAACTTTTAGCAACCTTTATTTTTCTGTTTTTTCCCTAAATTTAACCATTACCTCGTCTCTCCCAGAAAACATTTTACAGAGTTGTGCTGGCATTTCACATTCTTACTGTTGTCATTGAACCATGGACATTTACAGCACAGAAGACGGTCATTTGGCATTTGTGTCTTTGTTGACTCTTTGAAAGAGCAAGCCATTTAAGCCTTTTTCCTCATATTCCTGCAGGTTATTCCTTTGTGATATCTATCAGGTTTTGTCTTGAAAGCTAATATAGATCCTGCCTCAACAACTCCACCCAGAAGGGCATTCCATATCTTAACATCTCTGCACAAATATTCTGATCTTCCCCCTTCACATTTCCATCCACTCAACAACACCAACTTGCATTTACATAGTGCCCCTCACGCAGAGTAGTGTTCCCAAAGCGCTTGACAGTGGGGGAGCATGACTCTGAGCTAAGGGGAGGTGACAGTAGGCACGGTCGAAATAGGAAGGTCCTCGGGCACGACCTGAAAATGGGGAAGAAAGGTGCAAGGTGGAGGCATAGAAGAAGAGTGTTCCTCTCCACACCTTAAGCACTCCCGAGACTCCGTCCGGCGTGAAGGGCTCTATGTAAATGCTTGTTGCTGTTTGTAATCTAGCCCACCTCCGACCCATCCCCCTTCTAGATCTTTTTTCCTTATCTCAGATAATCCTATTTTAAAATGATGCCCTTTAGTCACTGAAATAATTTCAAATAATAATTTGTAAATAATTTCTCGCTGTAATCTTTTTATCTCCCTATTACCTTATGTCTATTTCTCTACTCTTATCAACCCTATCTGTATAATTTTAAAGGCAGCTATCAGGTCTCCTGTCAACCTTCTCTATTCCAATGTAAAACAGCTTAGTTCTTCTCATTTCTGTTCATTTGTCAAACTACTCATTCTAGTAAATATCTGTATAAAAGCTAAGATCCCAACAGTTTTCTTCACAGCTTTGTTCATCTGTCTTTCTTTAAACAATTTGTATATTAACTCCGCTACACCATTTAACATGTTACCATTTACAACAACTGCATAAACTTGCCCTATTCTTTCTCCCAAAATTTATAAATTCACTATTCTGCATTAAATTTCACCTGCCATCTCGCTGTCCAATCTAATTGTCTATATCGTGCTGCAGTTGCTTACAATCATCTTCACTGTTGCTAAGCTCCTTATTATTATATCATCAACAAATATTTGAAATTGTGCCCTTATACCAGAATCCGGAAAATTGTAATCTCGGGGTGGGGACACACACACCTTACAACTCTTATTTCTGTAAAACTGCGATGTACTCCCACTCTCTGTTTCTTCTTCTTTAACCAACTTTCTATCCTTGCTGCCACCTCTCCATTAGTACTGTCTGCCTCAATATTTTTAACAAGCTTTTTATACAACACTTTATCAAAAACCTTCTGAAAATCCTGTTACCCAACGTCTACATCATATCTATCTATTCTGTTATTTCATCAAAAGACCGTATTAGATTTGTCATGTAACATCCACCTTTAACAAATCGACGCTGACTGTCCTTTAATCAGCCCATGTCTTTCTAAGTGATTACTAATCTCATACTATGGCCTCTAAAAGTTTGTCCGCCATGAATGTTAGGCTGATTGGTCTTTAACAAATTGACTTATTACTTTGTTTTGGATCAGATATGTTAAGTTGGTAACCCTCCAACCTCTGGCCCAGCTTTTGTTTATAAGGATGATCTAAAGATTGTATTGTTCTAAAGATTGCATCTTCCTGACTTGTTCAGAATTCTTGGATGCTCACTGTCTGACACTGGTAGTTTGTCCACTTAAGTTCCATCAATATTTTAGGACTACTTCCTTTTCTATAGTTGGCCCCAATTGCTGTAGCTCCTTGTACACTTACTATCACACTCTTCTGTGGGAACTGAAGCAAAATATTTATTCAGTGCTTGTGCTATATATACCTTCATTTCCCACAACTGGATTTTGCTCACAAAATACTCAGTCAGTTCCCTTTACAGTATATCCTGTGACGCACTTTGAGATGTCTCAACAATATGATAAGGTGCTATATCAAATTGCAAGTATTATTGCTCTTTTTGTCTCTAATTGGCCCTATCTTTTTAACTGCTGTATTCTTTTGCTTTTTATGATTAGAAATTCTTTAGTATACTTTTGGCATCTCTGACCTAATATTTTGCTTCCCTTTCGCGCTCGTGATAGTCTTGCCCCTTACCATCTTAACCTTTTCCAACATTTCACAATCTGTTGATGACCAATAACTACTTTGTGAATACAGTTAGTAATTTGTTTTTTTCAAAACTTCCTCATGTTTTGGTTTCACTTTATCGCCCAGAAGGCTTCCAGCAGACTTTCAGTTCTGATGAATCATTAACCCATCTTTCTGTTTTTGATGCTGTTTGAGCTGCCATTTGACCATTTTCTGCTTTTATTATTTGTCTCAAATTCTTTGATAATTTTGCCTTTGATCGTCATACAGGAACTATGCATGCAAAGGAACTCTTTCACCATTTTTGGCTTTGTGCTCTGAATGTTTATTCTTTCTAGAGTTCTATGTGCAGGACATTATACTGTAATGTACAACTATGTTAATCAATTCAGGGCTCCATTTAACCCACATACAGTATAAATCTTATATGCACTCAAGGTTTTCAGTTGGCAAATGTTTCAAGCCACCACTAAACTCCTTCTCAAAAGAGCATTAATAATACTGTAATGATAAAATGTAGAAAGATTATGTTAAAAGTTAAGAGAGGATGAAGGCTAGAGGTGAGGGAAGGATCGTTTATCAGAAGACAAGACATAAAGTTTCTTGTATCCTGTCCAGGAGCTTGAAAGGTTCTTGACTGGCTCTCCAAATATATTCAAGTCACCCAATCCACAACTGTTTGTAGGGCACTGCTATGTGCAATTGTCTGCTGCATTTCTCCCTCAAAATATAGTCAATTCAGTCTACAGTATATCCTTTGAAGCTCATTAAAAGTGAAGCAACTCTATGTAACACAATTAAGTGAAATGATTTTGTCAACAACAAGATTACATTGGTATAGCGCCTTTCACGTCATAAGGACGTCCCAAGGCGCTGTTCAGTGGGGTCAGGGGCGCGAGGTGAGGGGGGTGACCAATGGTATGGTCTAAAAAGGGGGTTTTGAGGCAGGACTTGAAGGAGGGGGCGAGGTGGAGTGATTAGGAGTGGATTTCCAGAGGTTGGGGGCAAAGTGACTGAAGGCTCTCCCGCCAGTGGTAGGGCGGGTGGGGCGGGGGACGTGGAGCAGGCCGGAGCCGGTTGAATGGAGGGAGCGGGCGGGTTGGTAGAGGGTTAGGAGGTCACAGAGGTAGGGTGGGGCGAGGCCATTGAGGGCTTTGTAGGTGAGGCCCAGGATCTTGAACTGGATCCTCTGAAGGATAGGGAGCCAATAGAGTCGGGCGAGAATGAGGGAGATGGGGTCATGGAGTCGAGGTGTCACAACGCACTTTATAGGATATACTGTAAAGTGATGTGGCTGTGTGTTTTGTGGGCGAACCTGGCAACTAATTCATGTACAGCAATGTCCCACCAACAGCCATGGAGTGAATGACCAATTTTATTTGAGTGATTGTTGGCCAGGACGTTGGGAGAAACTCCATTCTCTTTTTGAATAGTGCCATGAGATTTTTAACGTCCATCTAGACAGGCAGATGGTCCTTGAATTAATGTTTCATCTGAAGGCTGGTGCGTCCAACAATGCAGCACTCCCCCAGCACTGCATTGGGGTGTCAGTTGAGATTATATAAGTTCAAAGTCCTGACATGAGAATTCAACCCGCAATCTTTAGACTTAAAAGCAAGATTGCTACCACTCAGCCAGGCTGACCATGTAGTTTAAATTTCTTGAAACTAATCCTCAAAGTAAAACAGTTTTCAAATGTATTGTTGCAATTTTATTTGCGAGTTGATGGATGCTCTACTCATCACTTGCTATCACCAAACTAGCAGATACTGTGAAGGCCAGACTGAGATTTCTGTAGTGGAGTTCATGATAGCTTACAATTTAACTGTAAAAACTCAAAAGAAACCAAAAAGGTTTAAAATACAAAGAAATTACTTCAATAATTTGATTTTGATTTGATCCGAATAATTTTTCAGTATACGTGAGGCCTTTTATTGTACTTTTCTCAACTATCTTTACCAGGTGATAAACGTCTGATTAAGCAGGATAGTTGTGCTGGGGAACATTTGGTGCTTTTTTTTTTGAAGAGGTGATCTTATAGCTGCAGAGATTGCAGTATAAAATTAGCTGATCCAAAGCCTCATTAGAAAGGCACTAATTGAAGCTAAAAACAAAGTTTGGCGTTGCTGAAAAGCCGGTACCAATTTATACGATTCAAAAGAGCTGGTGTGATTTAATGATTGCAAAGATAGTCATTACAATTTGGAAGGCTAGAAAAGAAACATCTAAGTTTCAGTCTGTTTGTGTGGAGTCTTGTATTTCCCATCTTCACATTGACGAGAGCAAGCAATGAAATGGGGCTCTTACTTTAGAAAACTGAAAGTAGAACCAAGGCTATATCCATGGTGCAATATAAAAGCAATAACAAAATTGGCAATGAGAGGCTGGGTAATGCTGTGAATTAGTGTGCTGCCCTTTTGCCTTGGATACAAATTCATCTAGACGGTCTCTCTTCTACAAGGCGTAAAGAGTCTACATGAAATGAGTTTTGGCTGGGCTTAACCCAATGCCCAAGAGATTTGACAAACTGGCTCTTGATGTCTCTTTCTCAGTCTTTTTCCACCTCTCTATTTCTACACCATGCAAAAGGTAGAATTAAAACTGTTAAATTCAAATCCAAATCGAATTGCAAGCCAGTGCACGAGATTTCCCTGGACACGAAACCATTCAAATGGTCAAATTGTGCCCTGAAATCACGTTGTCTTGCTTCAAACCACATCAGCACAACAGAGGGATTTGAAACATGGTGACTTGGTTTGAAGCACGATTTCAAGCCGGATATGGGCTGATGGAGCTGGCTCGCCTTCTACTCGTATGCTCAGTGATGTCGCCAGTCATCTGATCGTTGACAGCACACACGGAAGCACTGACTAGAGGCCAATCTTGATCATGTCCTGTGATAAGACAGATTAGAATTGTCTGTGTCCCAATAGCCACCTTTTAGTTGAGTTCTGCTGTATCTGTCTGTATTCTTGAGTGTTCAGCATTCCAAGATAAATCCCAATTTTCATAATTTCCCCATTTTCTTTCTTGCCTTTTTCTTCCTTTTTTTAAAAACACAAAATTGTCTGGCAAGCTTTCCACTGCTTGTCCATCTGAGACCACCTTACATGTTAGAGCTTTGGCTTGTAGGGTTAACAGGAGCTGAGTGGGAAGAATCCCTGGCCCCAGTCTGCCTCTTCAATTCCTACTGTTGAGCCATGCTGGCTGGTCTATCATCAGCAGGGTCTTGGGAGTACTGTGGACCCGCCAGTCCCAGGAACTGGACTACCAAGACTGCCCCGGTGGGATGTCTCGATTCCGATATTCTGTTGTCAAGTACATCACCTTAATAAATAATAATAAACCTTCCATTTGATTTAGCGCCTTATCACATCATCGAGACGTTACAAAGCGCTTCACAGGAAATACTGTAAAGTGAATTGATTGTATTTTGTGGATGACTTCGCTGTTAGTTCAGCTCCAAGGAACCCTGGTCACCTCCCCATCCCCCTCCCCAAGAAGGATTAAAAATACAAAACAAATTCCTAAAAATACAGAGGTTTTTATTTTGTTAATAAAAATTAACTTCAGTGGTCTTTAACCTTAATGAACAGAAAAGTTTCTTTAGTGAAAAAAAACTCCCCCGCCCCCCCCCCCCCATATTTTCCAAATTGCCATTTGGGAGGTATTTCAATGACATTTAACTGTACATATTGGAATTAAAGATCACTATAGTGTATTCAACTCATATTTCCTTTCTTCTGCATAGGTTAATTCTCAAAGCCACCCCACCCCAGCAGAATCACCTACCGTATGTTTGGGAAATACGAAAACATCACCAAGTAGAGGGGAGTTTCCAGACTTCCTTAAAGTGTTGTCTCCAAGTCAAAGGCATTGTGCGGAAACAATTGTTAGCATGGGATACTCCTGTGAGAATGTAATAAAAGCCATGCAGAAGCGAGGCGAAAACTTAGAACAGGTAAGGTTGGGAGATATTCATTGGTTAAAGTGGGATTTGTTAAGAGGGAGTATTCTTTTTTTGTAAGCTTTGAATTTAAAGAAAACTAGTTTTGAAGCTTATTTTTAGCTGTAATGTACATAGTGTTACTGGGGAAAGATGCGTCTTAAAGGAGAAGAGTTTTGGAGCTATGAGATATCTTTGGACTGTTTGTTTTAAGTCCCCTGGGATGGCAGTAAAATGGACCTTGACTAATAGTGTGGGAAATACATGCTTTGTTTCCTCTTATTCATTTATATAGAATATATATTATATCAAATACAAGTCAAATGGTCTCCCATACTGTAAACATTCAGGTTTTTATGATTGTGTCATATTCAGCCTCTGTAAAAAGGGAAACTGCTGCTATAAATGTTGAGCATAGTTTTATGCAGAAATTAAGTTTGTGCTCTAATTGGAATTGATGAACTCTAACCTCTCCCTCCCAGGTGCTTGATTACTTATATGTACATGGACGACTCTGTGAGCGGGGCTATGAACCAGCGTTAGTGGAAGAGGGCCTGGAGGTGTATAGATGTTCCGAACCAAAAGTGAGTCGGCCATCACTTTTTCTTTGTGGTCTGTTCACTAGAATTTCTATGTTAATATTAAGTGGAACATGGTAGAGGTTCGGGTATGTAGATTAGCTAATTTTAAATTTGAATTTACTTGTAAAATAAATAATGTAACCCACATTGTGGTTATCCAGTTGCTGTTCTAAGGAACCCATTGATCTTGCTAAGAGTACAAAATGAATAATTTATTGCTAAGTCTCTTAAATGTAGGTTATCAGTGTTGTTTTGAGTTTGAATGCTGTCTAGATTCATAGATTTTCATAGATTCATAGAATGTCCAGCTACACTGTAAACAATTAGCTGACAAATGCTATCAGAAGTGGTGTTTGTTCTGCGTGACCCTGAGCCTCAAAAAGTCACAAATGAGTTCAAATTAGTCACGATGTGTTTGGCCCGTCTGACAGGAAATCACTACCTTGTGATCACAGTAGAATTGTGCCTTTTGAAATCAACATAAATAGATTATTACTGTTGAAGTAATTTCACTGCTGTCAGCAGAGCAACTCCAGCTACATATCGAGAGCATAAACCTTGTTTCTAATTTGGTAACGCTTATAAAGATTACTCACAATTTGATTTCAGGATGTAAAAAATATTATTTTTGCCTCGTTGTGGGGGACACCTTGTTCAGTGCTCTGGGTTTGGAACATTTAGATGTGCTGGCACTTCACTATATAGCAGCTTCTTGCCAAGATGGTATCTATTTGTAGCAGCGTAACACTAACTTTATTGGTGGCTTTAGTAAGTGTCTCCCATAACTGTTCTGTTCTTTGAGTTCTGCCAACTTTATTTTGCTGGGCTCATTCTCAATCCTCTTAAAAGCATGTTGGAAAGTGCTAAAATAGGATACAATATGTATTTGAGACGGATGCTCCATGTACACCCTTTATATCCTTGATGAAGGAATGTCTGCTAATCAGATTAGTTAAGTAGATTGATGTCCAAATGTGCTGTAAAATCTTGAGGTGGAGGCAAGTTGACACAGAGGAAGTTGGGTGCCCTTATGCACAAAGAGGTTGGAGTATAGAATTCGCCACTTACAGCAATCGTTAAACAAGCTGTTTCACTGTCAAGCAAAAAAAAATCTGAGCAAGTTTCCCAAGTGAATTTTGTTTGCAAACTTTCCGGAAAGCAGTTTCATTTTCAGGAGGGAATTGGGAACAAGTCACTTGACCTCGGCCATTGCGTGTATATGTACAAAATGAGTGGAAATGATCTTGTTTTTTCTCTTTTCAGGCTCTGAAGTTTCTTCAGCTCATGTCGAAGTTCAGAGAAATGGGCTTTGAACACGGAGTTATTAAGGAAGTTCTTCTATTTCATAAGAATGATCAGGAGAAAGCGCTGGAAGACTTAATGGCTCGTGCAGGAGCAAGTTGAAGGCGATTCTTCTCCCATCTCAGCCTGATTGAGAGCACAGAGAAGAGAACAAAAATCTGCCCATTTACTATTCAGTTTCCAGCTCTGTTTATACAAGCATGGCTGTTTTCTTTTAAATATATTTTTTGTTTGTTGGGGGAAGGGAGAGAGCGATATCAAATGGATCCAGAGGCACTGCATGCTTCACAAGGAAGATGGAGATGAATATATGCACAAGATGGCATGTGGTAGCCCTAATATTTTGATTATTGCCTCATTCAGAGATGAAAGGAGAAGTGGTCACAATATGGCAGACATGTCTCGCCCACTTTTCTCATCAATGGGCATGGGAAGATTAAATTGAATTCTGAGATTTGTTTCTGTTTCCTCCCCCCTCCCCAAATAATATAAGATTGTGCATCTTACACTCTTGCACTGAAGTTTGTTTAGGTGAGTGGAAAAGCTGGATAATAGCAATGTTCCCAGGTTAAAAGCTGCTTTTTGTCCTGTGTCAAAGACTACATTTACTGGCCTGTAGACTATTGTAAAAGTTGTATTTGAATTCAGTAACCCATAGTGCAATAGGAACAGAGTGGGGCTAGCCTGTCCTCTGTCACTCGCTGGGTACAGAGTGTTGCCAACTCTGCATGATGTTTGGGAAACACAATGGGAGGGGAAGCCCAAAACTTTGAACAAAATAAGGCAAGCTCTGCATTGATCTATTGCTGCCCTCCATCCCCAAATGGGTCTGTCTTATACAGATTCCCTTATAGGAAATCTATTCATAGGCTCTTAAATGAATTGCAGCGTGAGGTGAAATTTCTCAACTATTTAAGCACTTTCTTTATATTTTGGTGTTGCCGCTGCACTTGCTTCATTTACACTGTTGTCAAACGTTCCATAATGTCTTCCTCACTGCTGTAGTTCTGGAGTGTTTAACATTAATCTTTAATATTAACAGCAAAAAAAATCTCTTTTCATATTAGAACAAATGTTACATTGTTCTGCATTGTAATGTTTCACAGATCTTCAAACAGCAGCAGCTTTTCTGAATCTTAGACGTTACTTACAATTTTGATTCTGCTAAAAAGGTACTAATAAAACCTTAAAGTAAAACGCAGTTGTGTTGGTTGATTAGCTTTTAAGCGGTAGCTTTGCGACTGCTGTAACTTTAGCTTGCATCCAAATGAACAGTGCGGGAACATTGACAAGAAAATAGAAACAAATATTTTGGAAGTGCTGTTAATACCGATCGATGGGTTAGAATTTTTGCTCGCTCTAGTACTTTTGAATTTCGTTACTTGAGAACTAACAAATGGCATGAGATGGATATTCAACCTTTCCTTCTATAGCTAAAATTTAACTCACCATGCACACTCCTGGAGGAAAGCTCTGCATAAAAATATGCTGAGGTGAATTTCTTCATCTCAGTCTGCATCTATATAACAATAATAATAATAATCCTCGGATTTGATATAGCACCTTATCACTATTTAATATCTTAATATTTAATACTTATCTTTATTTAATGCAGTTAATCACTGCATCAACTTTTGTTGGCAACTATTACACATCCCACTATCCTACTACTTGTGATGGTGGTACTTGTGTGTGTATGTGGGTGGTGGGGGTGGAATCTAATCACACCATTTTGGACATTGACTATGAGAAGTAAACCTAGGATAAAATTACAAATAGACTGCTTTCATCTATAACCCAATCACTTTAAAGACTTGGATCATGTCCTCTCGCCCCTCATATGTTTCTGGATCAGAACAAGTAAACAAAGGCCTGTAATTGTAATCACCTCCACTGAACATGGAAATTCCTAGCAGCATTGTATTATATGTACAGTATTTAACTTTTAAACCTGGATGCCTCTAAAAAAAATCCTAATTTTCTGTATATAAATTTAAATATTTTTTCTATCAGAGCTAAAATATACTACGCTATTTTATGGTAGGAATTAATGTGTATTTAGAGTGAATATTTTAAGCATTTATGAACATTTTAATTTGAATTGAAGTGTCTTAATCTGGTAGTTCCAGCGGCAGCGAACTAGTCAATTATGATTTGAACTTGACTTGCCCATTGGTTTATTTCCCTGTAGCAGAAACAAAATTGTATAGGTGGACTAGTTTCCAGGCGCAGACCTTTTTCATGTCCTTATTTTTTAAAATTTGTTCTAATTAAAACCTATAGAATCTTTTTGAGATGGACAACAGTAATTCTGTGATCAGTGTTGATATTAAAGATTTTGTTGTGGTGCACCTACACAAAATGCATCAGTTTAGTGAAGTATCCAAACAAACAAAGCAACACTGCCCAGTAAACATTCTGCTGTTAAAAGCGGATAGCATGCTTTGTGTGTATAGTCCAGGACTTTGTGTACTACATTGAGTTTCAGCAAAATGCATGACCTTCATTTAAAACTAGGATGACTTTTTTTTGCATATTCTAACGACTATAAAGAGCAAAACTATTGTAATAGCACATTAACATCAATGTATTTGATTCAGGATTATGAGTAGATGGGTTTGACTTGTTGACTTTTCATTATTTCGATCCAAACTTGATTTAATGTTTTGGGAAGTGTAGCTTTTCAGTGAGTTGTTTCACCTTTCCAAATCATAGTGTTGAGGACAGAGGTCAGACCCACTGTCCTTTGCCTGCTCCCCTCACATTAAAATGACTGTCATGAGTGCTTCCACTTTTCAAAATGAAGTCAAAGAATTATTCATTAAACTGTCTCAGTGTTTAAGATTTTGAATATTTCTGTTTAAACAGATAGTGTTTATAGTAAAGGAGCTCAAATAAAATCAGCAAAAATATATGTTCATGAACACAAAGCACTTTGATTATATATGTTTACCTTCCTCTACGATGGGACACTAAATGTTATCTGTATTCCAGAAATAGTCATAGGCGGGTGGGAGTGGTACTGATAATCACATTCACTTGACATTTTCAAACAGTCCGCAATCAATTTTAAATAAGAAATGTTTTCAATTTATTAAGTTGTCTCTAAATAACTTAAGTTTTCTAACATTTATACATGAAAAATATTCACATTTACTGAATAGAATTTTAATAGAAAATAACAAATCAAAGATTTTTGCAGTTTCAACCACTTGGATGAAAATATAAATGGTGTTGACATTAAAATACTTCATAGATTCAATCTATAACAAAGTCTGATAAAGTACAGTATTAAACTTTTTGAGATGTCAGGAATCTGCTTAATCCATTATTGGTTTCTCCAGGCTTAATTCATTCCTAAAAGTATGTGTTTCACGGGAGTTGGAAACATTTGAAAATACCATGTCTAATGTCCAGCTGAGCTGCGGAAAACTTTCTACCACCATCTTTTGTTAAACCAGAGGACAAATATGTTGCTATGGTCAATACAGAGTACATCATAAAAACAACCCAGAGGAGAAATATTGACCAGGATAACAGAAGGACTCTTATGTTTTGAAATAAAGGCCTGTGCTTTATTACATCTATCAGCACCAACAGAACAAGCAAACAGACTTTAGTTTAACTCCTCTCCACAATGCACAGTCACTTCAGGCTGGATCATGAACTCTGGGCTCTGGGGCTTACAACAGGATCCACATCACCAATGCTTTGCTGTTACATTTCTTTTTATGATTCTTCTCATGACTGAAATTATTCAAAATCATATCTGGTCCAGGTTATAAAGTAACCCTAGTTACTGTCAAGTGTAGTGAATAATTGAATAGCTGATGCCTTCAACTTGTCCCTTGAACACTGCCCCCACAATCAGTCACTACACTTGATAATTACTGTAAAGTGCTTGAGAGATATAAGGCACTATAAAAATACAAGTTCTATTTATATATATAAAAAAACAAAACCTGTTTGAACTTCAAGAAGGATCTCGATAACTGATTGATTTAGAGACATTATTACCTCATGGGAAAGACCTTGTAACTGGAGAGACATGGGCATATTTGTTTTCCGATATCTCCTATCGTTCATGAGTTATTTTCAGTTTTGTGTTTTTCGCTAGTTACATCTGGTGGCCACCGAGTCAAAGTGACGCTGTGGCATCGGGCGGCACAGAGCACCTATGTACGCACCCATGTGGCCACGCCGCGTGACTGGTGCTGTGGCATCTTGCGTCACAAAGCACACAGAGCCAAGCGGTGGGAACAAAATAAAGAGCACAGACAAAGCTAAGCCACGGCAACAACAACAAAATTACATTTTTAAAGCCCAGATTCCTCCCACTGAGTCCTTCCAGATGAGTATAGATAAAGATGAAATGTCTGACTGTGTGAATCTACATTCCATATTGGATCCTTTGGTTGCAAGCGAAACTGCAAGATGTACAGTTAGTATGAAATAAACTATTAACCACACTATTATTTCAAATTAGCATTATTTCAAATGCTTCCAATGTTGCATGTGCAGGAGCCTGGTATCACAAGGAAGTATTTAAGAGCTAGCAAATGTTTTCTGCAAAGCAGTTTTACAGTTTGATTCCAAATGGTAAAGCTGTGCAAAAATTTAATTTAGTATTTTCCAGTTGAGTGCAAGATGTAGTAATCAGATTTAAGTATAGGCACTGTTATCTGGATATCCTGCTATCAGTCAAAGACTAAATAACTATTTCTAAGATAGAGGTACTTAGGTTTTAACCATCATAAGCTGCCATAGGAGACATCTGATAGCAATGGATCTGGCCTTGCATGTTTCGGATGCATTTAGTCTTCAGTATCATGATTTGCTCAAGCTGTGCCACATAGTCCTTGAAATCCTGCAAGAAATACAAATCATGGTTTGATAGATTCCTTAAAAAATATCCTTACATGTGATAAAGTGCCTTTCATATCAGGAGGATGTCAAAGCGTATTACATTAAAGGACTTTCATGTGTATTAACTGTATTTTGTGTAGACAAATAAAGCAGACAATTTGGAATGTTCTGCAAACAGCCACCAAGTAAATGACCAATTTGGGAGATTGTTGGACTGTAGGACACTGGGAGAAACTCTTCTCTTTTTCAATAGAATCATGGAATCTCTAACGTCAATCTGAACAGACAGACAGGACCTTGGTTTAATGTCTTATCTGAATGAGAGCACCTCTGCAACCTAGATTATATAAATTCAAAATCCATTGCTAGTTATCCACAAAACACTGACATATCATTTCAATGTCTTCTTAGTCTAAATAAGTGTTTCCTCAGCAAACACTGTTTATATTTACCCAAAGTGATGTATAAGTACTTAGTTCTAAAATAAACTAATATTTGGACTCGTACTTAATTTGACATTAAATGCAATAACTTGATCAATGGTACAATATCCTAAGGAAACGTACCACCTCTTTCTATCAAAATTCTTGAGGCTAACAACTTGCATTTATATAGCGCCCCTCATGCCGGACGGATCACCAGCAAATGAAATTCAATACAGACAAATACAAGGTGCCACATAATAATAATAATCCTTGCATTTGATACAGCGCCTTTCACGTCTTCAAGACGTCTCAAAGCTCTTCACAGAATATACTATAAAGTGAATTGACCGTATATTTGTGGGAGAAATGTGGTAACCAATTGCGCACAACAGTGTCCCTCAAATAGGCGTGGATTGAAGTGACCAAATTATTACAATTAAAAGGTGCTACATATAGCAAGTAGATACAAGACGCACATGTACTTATTGATGGGAATAGAACTCACTAAAGGGAAAGTTTAAAGAGCCGTGGGGAGTGGGGGGGTCAGATGACACATGCTCACCAAGTCAAAATAGTGTGAGTCAGCATTAAAGAGAAGGTAAGCGATATTGTCAAGCCAGTAGTGCTCGGCTGCCCAGAAGGCATGCTCAGACTGTACAGTGCTTTAGTCAGGCTGCATCTAGAATACAACATTTAGTTGTTAGTGCAACATAAAGAGCTGCACAAGAGAGCATTAAGGATGATCCCATGTTGCATGGTCTAGCTATAAGGAATGAACAGATAATCTATAGTTCGTCAGACTTGAAACGAGATGTCTCAAGGCAGACCTTATTGAGGTGTATACAATGCTAAATGGGATAGCGAAAGTAAACCCAGAAAAATATTTTTCAATAAAGTGGACAAGAGGGCAATTCAAGGACAATTTAAGAACAAACACGAGGAACCACTTGTTTACATAGAAGATTGTCAACAGCCGAAACCAGTTAGTTACCAGGAAGGGCTGACATTAGGACACTGGGCCTTAGATAAGAAGCAGCAAACAGCTCAGTATTTTTATGCGACAATGATAACGTGGGTGTTATTAGAACAGTGAGATAAAATGAGGTGAAGAGCCCATTCTGCAATTATCTGTATTTCTACTGTGAGCTGAAAGACTGTTTGTTTGTAGGTTTTACCCTCAGTTTAAAGTAAACATTCCTCTGTGTTCAGAAACTGTCTTGTTGGAATTATTTAAAAATCTTACCGATATGTTTAGTTTCTTCAGCAAATCTTCCTCCTTTTCAAAAAGAGCCAACATTTCTTCCAACTGCTCACAGTGAGCTTGGACAATATGTTTTCTGGGGGGCAAAAACAAAACATTTTGTAATTGCTGCTTTCTGCAGTTGAAATAAATGTGTAAATATCAGTTCTCATGTGGAGCTGTGATACACTAACTGCTATAAAGCAATAAAAACAACAAAATTACACTTATAGAGCGCCTTTCACGTCGGGAGGACGTCCCAAAGCGCTCCCAAAGAGACAATTCCGCAGCCCCAACATGTAGACAATGATGATAAAATTCATTCTTAATTTGGAAGCTAGTTTTCCAGGTCTCTTTAACAAATAAAAGCTACAAATTAGGAATACATTTAAGAGTTTTCTGAAATTGTGCACAATCTAGTTTGAAGACTTAAGGCTAACATGAGGAATGTCAGGCCTCAGAAAGTAGCAACAAGTACCATTGTGATCTGAAAACCTTTAAAGAAAATGTTTTGTTAAAACTTGTACAGTTGAAAGACTCTTATTGTTGGTTTTAATTTTCATCTTTAAAAAAATGTTTAAACACATTTGTAGGAAACCCTGGAATTTCTTTTGAATGTTTCCTAACCTTCAGGTCTTGTTTTCAGAGTCTCCTATGAGACAAGATTGTGAAGATTGGTCACCTTTATGGCACTGCCACAAGGTTTGAGATACAGTGATAAAAAAATACAGTGCGAAGGGAGTCCATTTGGCCAATCACACTTCATCTCATCTGGGCAACCTCCTCCATTGCAGTAGCTATATACAGAAGTCTCCCTGTACTTTCTCGGTTGCAGAACCTCATTTAATGGGTTGTTTTAAGAATACATTTGGCAATTTAGCATTTAGGGAGACAAATGAATAGTTTTGAAGACTAGAAAATAAATACATAATGAGAGGTCCTCTTTCGTTCTGAAGCTCTAATACAGGCCTTTTCTATGGTGCATTCAGCACAGCTTGCTGGAGCTGCAATGAATTGCACCTGGAGGAGCAGTACCCAGATGGGATTCCTCTGCAGGGTTAGTTCCTGCTCTCAATTGTCTTGACTAACAAGATATACTGAGTAGAAGCCATTTACTGTGTTCCCAACACAGTAAATACTCTTTCGCGCCACCAAAGGGCCAAATGTAGTGCTGTAGAGAGACCAGAGAGCAGGCTATTCACACAGTGTGAGAAGATGGGGTTAAAATACAGCACAAATTTATTAGGAAAAGATATGATTACAAAAGCTGGCAGTATTTGTTTTCCTCTGCACCCTAACCCAGTTAGGCTTGAGCTTGATTTTGAACTCGTATGGGCCACAGGCTGACACTCCAATGTAGTGCTGGGTGCTCTGCATTGCTGGAGGTGCAGTCCTTCAGATGAGACATTAAACCAAGGTCTCGTCTATCTGTTCTGGTGGACATTAAAGACTCCATGGCTCTATTCCTATTGTTTTGACTGAAATTTCCCAAATAAAATTGATTATTCACTTCATGGCTTTTGTGGGACATTTCTGTGAGCAAATTGGCTGCTTAGTTTGCCTACAAAATACAAAACACATTACAACAACAAAATTACATTTGTATAGTGACTTTCACTTTGAGAAGATGTCCTAAAGCGCTGGACAGACAAAAGTTACGGACCCGAGCTGGGGGAAGGTGGAGGGCGCGCGGGGGGGAAGCAGGGAGATTGAAAGCATGGTCAAAGAGGAGGGTCCTGAGGTGGATCTTGAAGGTGGCGAGGGAGGGGATGAGACGGAGGGACTGCGGATGGAGTTTCAGAGGGCGGAGACAGAGTGGCGGAAGACCCGCCGGCCAATAGTGGGGCGAGCAAGGCGGGGGATGTGAAGCAGGCCGGAGCCCGCTGAGAGGAGGGAGTGAACAGGGTGGTAGGGGGTTAGGAGGTCGGAGAGGTAGGGGGAGCAAGACCATGAAGAGCTTTGAAGGAGAAGACCAGTACCTTGAACTATATCCTCTGTGTGATGGAAAGCCAGAGGAGATGAGTAAGGATGGAGGTGATAGGGTCGCGTAGCCTAATCCGGGAGAGGACACGGGCTGCAGAGTTCTGGATGATCTGCAGCCTGTGGAGGGAGGAGTTGGGGAGGCCGACAAGCAATGAGTTTGCATAGTCGAGCCTCAATGTAATGAAAGCGTGTATGAGGGTTTCGAGGGCCTGCAGTGTGAGACAGTGTCGGAACTGGGCGATGTGGCGGAAGTGGGGGAAGGCAGAGCGGGTCAAGGAGCAGATGTGGGGTAGAAAGGATAGTTGAGGGTCAAACAAGACCCCAAGGTTCCAGACTGACTTAGCAAGGTCGGTGGAGTGTGCAACCATGGATGGTGACGCCGTCAGTGCTTGAGGTGAGGAGGCGCTGACGGGAGCCAATCAGGAGAGTCTCGGTCTTGTTCACGTTCAACTGAAGAAAGTTAGCTCTCTTCCATGACGATGTCTGACAGACATTCTGTCACCACAGTAGTGGTCCTGGAGTCAAGGGTGGAGGCAGAGAGGTAGAGTTGGGTGTCATCCGCATACACGTGGAAGTTGACTCCATGCGGATGATGTCACCAAGAGGGAGCATATAGATGTTGAAGAGGAGGGGACCAAGGACAGAGCCCTGAGGAATGCCGCATAAGACGGTCCGAGGGCTAGAGGAGAAACCATTTGAGGAGATGAAGTGCAGGCGGTGTGAGAGGTACGATTTCAACCAGTCAAGGACAACGCCATGGAGGCTGAGATGAGTAGCTTACATCTATTCCTACATTCATAGTGTATCTCATACATGAGGGGAGGGAATAGGAGGGAGCGAGGAGGGGGTAGAGAGTCGAGAGGGGAGCTGAAGGCTCGGTCAAAGAGAAAGGTCTTGAGACCGGCCTTGAAGGAGGAAAGGGAGGAAGCAAGACGAAGGCACTGGGGGATGGAGTTCCAGAGCCTCGGGGCTGAGAGGCTGAAGGCCCGGCCACCGATGGTAGGGTGGTTGGGGCGGGGGACGTGGAGCAGACCGGAGCCAGAGGAAAGGAGGGTACGGGCAGGTAAGTAGGGGGATAGTAGGTCGGAGAGAGCGAGGCCGTGAATGGCCTTGTAGGTGAGGATGAGGATCTTGAATTCGATCCTCTGGGGGATGGGGAGCCAGTGGAGGCGAGCGAGGGTGGGAGTGATGTGGTCGCGAAGCCTGGTGCGGGACAGTACACGAGCTGCAGAGTTCTGAATGACCTGCAGCTTGTGGAGGGAGGGCCGGGAAGGCCGGCGAGGAGAGAGTTCCCATAGTCCAGCCTTGAGGTGATAAAGGCGTGGACCAGAGTTTCAGCAGCGTGAGGGGTGAGGTAGTGCCGTAATCTGGCGATGTTTCGGAGGTGATGGAAGGCGGTGCCAGTTGTGGCGGCGGATATGAGGAAGAAAGAACAGCTCAGGGTCGAACAGAACCACGAGGTTCCTGACCGGCTTTGAGAGGTGGAGAGTGCAGCCTTGGATGCTGATGCTGTCAGCGCCTGAGGTGCGGAGGCGCTAACGTGAGCCAATCAGGAGGGCCTCAGTTTTGCGCACGTTGAGCTGAAGAAAGTTGTCTCTCATCCAGGACTCGATGTCGGACAGGCAGCTGTCAGGACATTTTAGTTGAACAGCAAGTGGAATATCAGCTCAACACCTGGTCAAATGTCATGTTACTAGAAGATTGATCGCACCCATTACTTTGTTCTTGCAACAGTCACAAGGTCCTCTTATTACCAGAGTTTGCCAGACATAATGTTCTGGAAGTGGAAGGCAAGAGAGATTTACTTTGTTATTTATTTTATTATTGATTTTCAATCCTCAGTTTTTATTAGTTTCTTAGATGACTCACACCTCTTTATACTGACATTGTGTCTCTGCTGAGATAAAGACCTCTGTACATGTGTGAACCAAACTTTCAAGGATAACAGTAATGACATAACATGTAGGAGCAGGAGTAGGCCATTCGACCCTTCGAGCCTGCCCCGCCATTCAATCATGGCTGATCTTCTAATCTAACTCCAGCTAATAACCTGGTAATCACACCACTGAAATGGTACAGACCTTATGATATTATGGGAACTTGTAAGAATATATATTTATACTTATATAGACATGGTAACACATATTGTAAGCACTCCAAGACACCACCTCGCGTGAAAGGTGTTAAATATATAAAAGTTGTTATTGTTGTTAGTAACACAGCTTTAGAAGAAAATTCAATCTAAGAATTTATTTTCATACTTACTGTTGTTCTCCTAGTGCCTCCATTTGGTTGGTAAATAACTCGCTCTGATGTTTTAACTGATCACCGTCCATCTGATGACACACTACATTTTGACTAGTTCCTTCTCTGCTTTTATTGGGCATTGCGGAACACTTGTTAAAAAGACTGGAATCTTTCTCTGCACAAACCAGGCTAAACGGAACAGTATTCCAAAGTAAATTTTCTTTACATGTGCTAAGCAATTCCTTACTATTAGACTCGCACTGAGGTTGAAATCCATTTGCTTTGGACTCCTTATGGAGCTCTTCAGATTCGATTGGAAGTAGAACATTGCTTTTTCCTGCCGTGTCTATTGATTCTTGTAGCCGTTGAAAATCAACATTCTTAATTTTTTCCTTTCTTCTGCTGTCGGCTCTAGTCGGAGTGGAAGGAATATCTTGCATCTTTAACCAGTTAAGACATGGGCTGGTAGGGCTTTCTACTTCGCCAGGTGATGAAACTATATCATACGGGAGCTCTAAAGTGATTTCAGTTTCTTCAGTGTCAGCATCATAAAGTCCACTTACAAAGCATTTTGTGTCTTGGTTACAATGGTTACATTCAGTTTGCTCACTGGTATCTTCAGAGAGCTGACTCCCACAAGATAAGACAACAAGTGATTCTTTATAACTGAAAGCCTGTGCTGGTGGATGTTGAAGACTTGCACCTCGATTGCCTGTCTTTGATGGCGAGTTCACTGTTGAATTCTTGAGATCTTTACAGGGAGTCTCTGCACAGTTAATGCTTGAACATTGGCTACTTCCATCGTGTAGAGAGGATGTCTCCCTTTTAAGCTCACCATTCAAAAGAAGATTTTGAAAGCAATTTGATCTTTCCTTGTGGTGAAATTTGTCTGAAGAAGTTTTTGGATCTTCAAGAAGATAATCTTGTGATGTAATTGCCCAGTTTCTAAGACAAAATTGTGTTGACGCCTCATCTTTCTCAAGAAGGCCACCTGCTAAAACCATTTCAGAAATAAACTGGTCATCTGAAACCATCATTCTTTCAATACCATCAAAGGACAATTTTGATAGTGGCCTCATAGAAATGTCACTGGAAACATTTACTGAATCTTCAGGAATGCAGTCAATGGATGAAATTGTGTTATTAATAACTGTGAGCAATGGCTGAGCTCCCTTCTGCCTTTTTATTGATGACTGCAAATTGAAATGGGAGTCTGTACTTTCTTGGGTTTGAAGCAAAACTTTGTTTTCAGTACAGTGGTTCCTGAGATGTTGTGAAACACCATCATAGGCAGCTTGGTGCCCACTTGAACAAAGTTCTGTGTTTTTATCTCGTGTAATATTTTCAGGATCAGTTGAGAAATTACCCAGCCTCTCTTGTCCACTGACAGTATTCTCTTCTGCATTTAGTTTCTCTGGTATGGTATTATCTCCTGAAGAATGAGATGCTATGCAGTCTTCAGTTCTACACTCTGAGCTATTTCCCTTGCTGTCTTCTTCCCTCTGATTATCATCTTTGTAAAACAAAAGCTCTCGACTGTTCTTTCTTTCTCTCACTTCTCCCTTTGCTACTTGCACAGTTTGGCTTTGACAGTCAGGGAACCAATCACGACTATTATTACCTTCACCCTGATCATATGACCTTTGGACTTCAGATGGCGTTGAGGAAACATGGCTAACATTTTCCTTGTACATTCCAATTTTAGGTTGGTTATACTGCAGATAAAGCTCTTTCAGGGGTTGATAAGGAAGCTTCTGCTGCAGCAGTAGTGGTTGCTGAAGCTGCTGAAGTTGCTGATGATAAAGATATAGGTGTCTTTCCCGTTCCTTTTGCAGTAGCTGCATGTCCACTATTGACTCTGAACGATTACCATGCAAGTGAAGCCCATTTTCCAAACATTGAGCAGCACTTTCTTTACAAATAGAATCACTTTTGTTCGTCTGATCAGTAAAGCAAATTCTACTTCTTGAAACAATTTCTTTTTGAATGGGATAAACCGCTTGGATCTTCTGATTTTTAGATTGTTTTTCCTGAACCTGAGATTTTTTATGTTCATATTTCATTCTCCCTCCAATGTGAGAGGCTTCAGTTTGGAAATCATGAAGTAAACTTTTAATAACACTGATCTTGTCGTTTGAACGCCCACCGTTCTTTTTGACACCAAAGCATCCCGTTTTAAACATTCCCTTAATGGGTGTAGTGTGACCAAGCCAGATTTCCTTTGGGATTTCCTGGGAAACGTGGTTTTTATCTGCCCCTTTCGGCGTGGAACTGAGAGGAACGTTGGATGGATGAAAAACAGAAGGAGTTGACTTCGGTTTCTTTGCACTTTGAGCTACACAGTGGGAAGGCGGAAATCCCAGTTTCACCTTTTGCAGTGCAGTTTTTTCTCCCCAGCTTTTGGAAGGCGTTTCTTTGGTACGTTTTGGAGAAGGGCTTCGAACTATTCCTGTATAATTTGTGCTGGAGGTTCGGACAGCTCGTTTCAATTCCTTTACCCTGAAAATGTTAATAGTCAAATTAAATGAAATACAGACTCGTGCTAATTCACAGAGAGGTAAAAATAATCAAGAAATCAGAGGTTCAAAGTATCTCTCAGTTTTGTTCTTATTGTCTTAGAATTAAGGATTGTCCAGAATTTTAGAAAATTCTGAAATCCACTCCGATTTTGGACAAATTAAAATTGGATTTAAGTATTTTCCACAAGACTTCACAATCTAAAATTTGAAGATCGTGCTCTTACTGCTAAAAAGCATGAGAAATTTCTAGTCTCTGATATTTCTGAAACCCTTTGTAAGATTGAAAGGTCATTAAATTATTTTGTAGAAAAAACACATTGTTTAGTTAAGATTTATTTTAATGTCTTTTTAAAAGCATTTACATATTTTTCTTCTTCTTCTATTACAACTGAGTGTCCGCAATATTCACCGGATAGGGCGGGCAGGTTCTGTGATGCAAGATGCCACCTTACGCGTTATCCAATGATTTTTATATGGTAAGTACTTCAGAGAATTTCTAGAATGTGACTAGTTACGTGTTTAGTGGAGTGACAAGTAAAATGGAGTCCCTGAGGCCAGGATATTGACGGCATAGCGAATTAAGTATAGTGACAAGTTAACCAGGGTTGATTTATCCAAAGTTTACTCTACCATATAATTCCTCCCGCCATTATCTTCATTTCTGAGTTGTTCTGGTTCAAGAAGATCCAAATTGCCACTCACCTGTCTGCGTAGCGCAGTGTGTTCAGTGTGTGTTCCGTGGCTACGTGGCTAGGTGATATGTTAGCTATCATGCAAGTCTTAGAATTCCCAATAAATGAGTCTTTCAGTACCTTAAAAGATAAAGATAAGACCACTTAAAAGATAATCAAAAAATGTAGTTTCTTTTTAACAATGCAACTGTACCCTAACATACCTTGATAAGAATTACAAGAGAAAGGAAAGGTGGAATAGTGGAGAATTTATTGGTCAATCATTATTAAAATCACTTTTTAAAACCACATTTTTCCCCTTTCATTACTGAAGGCACTGATATGCTGGAGGGTGAATCCTCACATTTCAGCGCTTTGGGACGTCCTCCTGACGTGAAAGGCGCTCTATAAATGTAATTTTGTTGTTGTTGTTGTATCATTAGAATGAGAAATACCATCATATAAAATCCAGCTATCTTTAGATCCCATAATCTAAAATCAATTAAAAATCATTAATCATCATGTTTTTAAATTTTCTTTAAATTGAAGAAACTTGATTCCTATTGTTAAACACAATGTGTTTATAACATTTAATATAGTTTTCAACTATAAAATTGTCTGGTTTCTGGGTCATGGATGTCATTTCCTACACTACACACTATGTGCAGGCAGTGCTGCTAACATCACTTCCTTGGACTTGAAGGACCAGGTATTTTGTAGTTGAAAAGATGACTAAAAATCATTGAAAAAAATAAAAAGTAAAACAATTATTAATGTTATCCACCAAAAATTAATAACAACGAGCAGATCTAGAGTGACCCTTGCTAGAAAGACATTGCTTAGAATTGTGATCCCCAACAAGATATTACTGAGTAACAATGGTCTAGGACATCATAGATCCTTGGGGAGTTGATTTATTTCTAAAGAAGATATTGTTATTTTCAAACAACAACAGCAGCTTGCACTTATATAGCTCCCTCCACTCCGTGCGGCATCTCACAGTGCTTAACAATGGTGGAGCCCAAGGCTAAGCCAGGGGGAGGGGAAGGTGACCATAGGCACGGTCGAAAAGGAAGGTCTTCAGGTGCGACCTGAAGATGGGGAAGGAGGGGTTGAGGTGAAGGGGTTGAAGGAGGGAGTTCCAAAGTTTCGGGGCATAGTGGCTGAAGGCACGGCCACCGATGGTGAAGCGGAGGATTCGGGGGATGCAGAGGAGGCCGGACCCAGTAGAGCGGAGGCAGCGGGTACTGCTGTGGGGAGAGAGGAGGTTAGAGAGATAGGGGGGTGCCAAGGAATGGAGGGATTTAAATAATAGTGAGGATCTTGAAGTTGATCTGCTCTGTGACAAGGAGCCAGTGGAGTTTGGCAAGGACTGGAGTAATCGGGTAGGATGTTTGGTGCGGGTGAGAATGCGAGCGGCAGAGTTTTGATTGAACTGGATGTTGTGAATAGTGGAGGAGGGGAGACTGGCGAGGAGGGCGCTAGAGTAGTCCAGCCGAGAGGTGACAAAGGCATGGACAAGGGTTTCGGCAGCTTTTGGGTTGAGGTATTGTTGGAGACGGGCAATGTAGTGGAGGTGGAACTGGATGTGGGGGAGGAAGGATAACTGGGGAAACTAAAATGGGAAGAGAAAACGGAAGAAAACTTTTCGCTCACTAATTATGCAGCTACGCAAGAAAAATATTTACCAGAGTAAGTTTGCTTTGCCTAAAGGGCGTGTGAGCGTGCTCCTGGTCCAGAGCTCGAATGCACTCTTTAAGCTAAAATGGAAGAGAAATGACTGCAGTTTACTTTGGGAACGCAATAACAAGCAGTAGAGCACAGTTCATTCAAAAGGTCAAAAATTTCTTTCTCAAGTAATTTTCACCATTCCTCATTTTGTTTAGGCAGTTAGGTATGCGGTTGGACTAACACAACTTCTATGTTCTGCCAATTTTTCTGGCTTTTTTTCCTTTAACTAGGGTATGGTTTCGCAGGTACTTCCAGGATCTCCTCCGAGTGACTATTAATCAAAGATGAGATTTGACTGTGAATGTCAGTGGAGTATTTGTCCATAGGGGCAGTCAATCCTGTGCTCACCCAACATCCATAAACACGCATCTTTGAGCAGGAGTCTCTGGACAATGATCAGGGATAAGAAATCCCGGCAGTACTCTAAAGTAAGCACTTAGGCAAACTGACTGATGATGCCATATTTGAGGTTAGTTAAGTCAGCACCGTCTAAGCTTTGAAAGTTGCATGTGCTGAGAAAGCTGCTTATAGGAACCAGACTGTGAGTTGGTAATCAAAATCCTATGTGCGTAACAGGATTTTTTTTGCTGGTTTTGGTGCTCCATATACATCTCTGAATCAGAGCACATTGCAGATAAATGAACATGCGAATAATCAGCAAGCAAATAACCAGCGTTCCATTCTATTGGAGACCACCAAGAAGACCCTGCAGATTGTTACAAGCTTGATAACCCACCATTTAAAAATCTTTTTAAAGAAAAAATGACATCAGTAACAGTTTGCACCACCAGCACTGCTGTTTAGTTTTTTTTAAAAAATGCATTATGTAAGCTTTACTAAAAGGACAAATAGGGAGGGAAACAAGCTTACAGCTAGGAGACTCTGATTTATTTCTGCTCCTTCTATTTTTGTTTGTTTGTCAGAATCTCTGGCATCAGCAGCTCTCTCGCTCCCCGCGAGATCAACGAAAGAAATCCTAGGGACCAAATCAAGGTGATATGCATTCAGACACGAGTATTAGCAAAAACGTGTTTCCAATTTACTGCAAAGGCAAAACAAATTCTAGAAATATGCTTTGACCACTAATAACATACTTGTATGATTTGCAGACTGGCATCATTATATACACAAGATTATATAGTTGAGAAGCAAGTGCCATCACAATATTGGACTTTCAATGTTCTTGTCATTAAGCATTTTTTACGCTTTAGAGAGATCAGTTGATACAAGAGGCAACAATGAGAATTTTCACACAAACAGATCACAAATCAGAGATAAAGTAGCGTATTTGTCACCCACCATTTAATTTATATTCAAACCGTTTTGAACTTTTGTACTAATGAAATAACAAAAATCAGTATTTCATAACCTATTTTCCGAGTTTTAAAATGCTGATTGCCTTTGCCTTTAAATTTATTTAGATACGTAATTATCTTCTTTATCTTTTATAGACAAAATTAAATCCAGGTCCTATTTATAAAGTATGCGCAGTGAGGGAAAAATTCAGGAGTGGAATCTGCTTATTACTTATACTTCAATGATGAATCTAAGTCTAAAATCGGGTCTCGGTCATCAATATAAAGAGACTAACCAATTGCCTTACAAAGGATACCATTATGCTTTAACAATATGGTAACTATGAGAACCAAGATTATAGACTGTGTTTAATGAGTCACTAAAAAGTGAATGCTGTAACACTGGAACTCCAGTGTTTGTTTGTGACATTAGCTTTGCCTTTTTGTAGGGCTTCAATCCAGCACTTTTTATTCTGCTGTCAATGTCCCCACTCTTCCTCGCTAGCTTTCCTACTGTTGTGCATTTTTAAATACACCTCTGTTGTAACCTCCATGCCCAGGAGTATGCAGCACAGTTATTGAAAATGTAGTACTGTATAAAAGAACTAATTTAACATACAAATCTGTGGCCCAAATCATTCTCATGGTCTTAACCCTCAAGACCATTATCTTAACATTTAAAATCATGCAAAATTTTGTAAAATTCTTAAGTCAGAATTAATTAGAAAGATTTTGTATAATTTTGTATAATTCATAAATTAATATATTATTTACAATCCAAATTTACATTTATATAGTGGCTTTCACACCAGTAGAGTACTAAACAATCCAGGGTTTCCACCCAAGCTAGCAGTGGGCGGAGGGGAGGGAAGGATGGCTAGAAGCACAGTGAAAGAGGAAGGTCTTAGGACAAAATGCGAACTTTCAAGGAGGCATGGGAATGTGTAATTTGAAGGGGCTGTAAAACTTAAGAAGTTTGTAAAATTTTGCACAATCTTAAATCAATGGTGATAAGGCTGAAACAATGTGGTATTTCAGGCCTCTTATCCCTTGAAAAAGCTATGACATGGGTTTAAGAGGTGGATTACTTTGCTACATTGCCATTTCTGTATTGGGGAGATCAAGAAAAAGTTAGGGTAGTACACACGGTCAAAAAACAGGGTTCAGATTGTTTGAGCTTTGATTCCCCCACCAACCATTTGATCCTACAACAGCCTTCTATCCTCCTACACCACCTCTCCTCTCAGCTCAACCTTCACACACCCGCCCTTGCCTGGCTTGAATCCTAGCTCTCCCACCATCTCCACTTTGTCGCCACTAACCCCTTCTCCTCCAGTCTTCGCAACGTCACGTGTGGTGTTCCTCAGGGCTCTGTCCTTGGCCCTCTCTTTTTCAATATCTATATGCTCCCTCTTGGTGACACCATCCGCAGACATGGGGTCAACTTCCACATGTATGCAGATGACACCCAACTCTACCTCTCTGCCTCCACCCTCGATTCCAGGACTACTGCTGTCCTCACAGACTGTCTGTCAGACATCAAGTCCTGCATGAGAGCTAACTTTCCACAGTTGAACATCAGCAAGACCGAGGCTCTTCTGATTGGCTCGGGTCAGCACCTCTGCACCTCAGGCAACAGCAGCATCAGCATCCATGGACGCACACTCCACCTCACCAAACCAGTCAGGAACCTAGGCATCTTGTTCAATCCTCAGCTGTCCTTTCTTCCCCCACATCCATGCCATGACCTGCTCTGCCTTCCCCCACCTCCGCAACATCGCTCGACTCTGCCACTGCCTCACCCCTCAGTCTGCTGAAACCCTCATACATGCCTTCATTACATCCAGGCTCAACTATGCCAATGCCCTGCTTGTCGGCCTCCCCGACTCCTGCCTCCGTAGGCTGCAGATCATCCAGAACTCTGCAGCCCATGTCCTCTCCTGCAACAGGCTCCACGAGACTATCACTCCCATCCTTGCCCAAGTCCACTGGCTTCCCATCACACAGAGGATACAGTCCAAGATCCTGGTCCTCACTTTCAAAACCCTCCATGGTCTTGCTCCCCCTACCTCTGCAACTCCTTAACCTCCTACCAACTTGCCCGCTCCCTCCGCTCAACGGGCTCCGGCCTGCTTCACATCCCCAGTTTCACCCGCCCCACCAGTGGCGGGTGAGCCTTCAGCCACTCTGCCCCCACTCTCTGGAACTCCATCCCACAGTCCCACTGCCTCGCCCCCTCCTTTGCCTCCTTCAAGACCCATCTCAAGACCCTTCCTTTCAACCTTAGGCCACCCTCCTTCCTCCCCTGCCCTCCATCCTCCCCGATCCCGACCCCCAGCTCGCATCTGAAGCCCTGGTTGTCAAGACTTCCTCCCGACATGAAAGGCGCTATATAAATGTAATTTTGTGGTTGAGTAGACAAACCTACAACTGTTATTTAGCTATTTACTCATTACCTCTCTGGAAGAAAATGTTACAAAATGATTTGTACCCTCTGGTAAGAAACTCTCACCTTCCAACAACAAAATCACCTGGGTCTTTCAGCTGGACCTGAATGACAGCATGTGAGCGTGAGGAATCTGTATTCACCCCAGAAGCACCTGTGCTCCGTCCCTTACTCCCCCGAGAAATCACCTGATAAAGGAGATCACAAAAAGTCAAGAGCTAAGAACAAATCGATTTTACACTTTCAATTCAACGATCAAAGATTGCTCTATTTTTGCTAAAACTCTGAAAAGTATATAACATATTCCTTGTAATAATTTATACAAATAAATAAACCTGCACAATGCCATCAATTGATCTTGGGGTTGAAAAATTATATAGAATAAAACAGACAAAGGGGTAATTAGTACGTGCAATATTTATCGGATAAGTATTTGAAAAGAAATGTTAAAAAGTACATAGTTCCAGTAAAAGAGCTGCCACCAGCAAGGCTCAGTGGGTAAAATAACCTCTTTCTGTGCTGTAATTTCTATGATTCTCTGGTCTGAGTCAGTGAACGTTTAACATTGCTATTGTGATGCTGATTGACTTTGACCAGTAATCTGAAGCTGGTTGTGATCATATTCTTAGTTTCCATCAACTTTGGGTCTCTTCAGAAGCCCAAATTGGAGTTAATATATTTAAACCATCAAATATGGATATTTAATCAAGCATTATACTGTCTCAAACAGTGACATGTTAAAACGAAGCAAAAGAACTGAATACTGATCAGTCTAAGCGTATAATAAAAGTCAATATCTTGCTAAGTGTACCCCGACAAAAGAGGAATTATAGGCAACACTGCTTCTCGACTGCACATTCAACAATCAGGCTTGCCTTCACTTTCTAGCCCAGAATTAATATTTTTCTCATTGTGTTTCCTGGTCTCAGGAGGTCAACAGATAATATAGAACTATAGAAATTTACAGCACAGAAGGCGGCCATGTTCAATATAATTAATAGTTCTATCTCATCTACCAAACCAATATTATAATGCAGAAATTTGTGGATAGTCCGGCAATTTCCAGTCGATAATTAAGGAATGGAATTCACTTAGGAATATCACAATTTTGGCCGCATAAAATTGAGACAATTAAATGTATAACTAAAACACGTCATGAGTAACGTTTCTCTAAATTACCTCTAACAAGGATTCCACTCCATCCACCTTAATTTCACGCAGTTCCACGATTTGCACTACATGGTTGCCATCTTCCCTGGCAAACAGCCTATTTACAAAAAATGTGGAAAATGTAGCAAAAATACATGACTTCAGTTGTACAGTACTCAGTTTCTAAATAAATGTAAAACAGCACCAAATTAGAACACCATCATAAGTAGTGTACATTAGTTCTGAATTCCATTATGAATGCTGAATTTGGGAGATCTTTAAACAATAATGCTTGCATTTGATGTAGCGCCTATAACATCAAAATGTGGAGCCCTGTAGCTTAGCGGTTAGAGAACTCGCCTCGGAAGTGAGAGGATCCAGGTTCCATTCCCAGGCAGGGCAAAACATTGGGCAAGTTTCCTTACTCCACACGCCTCTATTTACCCAGCAGTAAGTAGGAACCCGGCTGTTAGTCGATTGACGGATCACTTTTCCGGGGCTAACAATAGCTTCAAAAAATAAAATAAATAAAAATGTGGTCACTCAATCCATGACTGTTTGTGCGATACTGCTGTGTGCAATTGGCTGCCGAGTTTCGCCCACAAAATATACAGTCTTGAGACATCTTGAAGACATGATAAGGCACTTTATGAAATACATGGATTATTATTATTATGTCTCAAAGTGCTTCATGGGTAATTGCTGTTAGGTGCACTGTATCTGTAGGCACACATAACAACAACAAAATTACTATCAACTTGTGCAAAAACAGCCCTGACATGAATGACCAAAGTTCCTGGGGGATTTGTTAGCGAGGAGACCAGAGAAACATGTACTGAACTATGCATTAAGTCCTTGACCACATTATCCCTTTAGTTCTGCATCACTCAACCAGTGATATCAAACTGTAGCGATTTCACTGACATGTTTGCCTACAAGGTATACAGTCACTCAACTTAACGTATATTCTATGAAGCACTTTGAGATGCCCTCCCATGAAAGACGCTATATCAAATGTAAGGATTATTATTACAATATTATATTATTGGAGAAAAATTAGTCATTCACTTCATGGTTGTTTGTGAGACATTGCTGTGCATATTTTGGCTGTCGTGTTAGCCCACAAGATACAGAGTCAGTAAAATCCTTCGAAATGCTTTGTGACGTCCTCTCAACTGAAAGGCACTACATCAAATTAAAGTATTATTATTAATTATTATTATGTGTATCGAAGCTACTGCTGTTTTTCCTTCTGAAAACAGGTATATTTTTGGTAAAGCAAATCCCACCTGAGCACTAAAAGAAAGACAACCTGGAAAATCTTTTTATATTTTAAAGATAATTTTGCATTATAAAAAATGTGAAATGCTTTAGTACCTAAACAACTGTTCATTCTTGCATTTTGTTTAATATTTCTAACATTGAAAATTAAGCCAGAAACATCAATGTATTTAAGAGGAAACCTGACGCACACATAAGGTGGAAGGTAATAGAGGTGTACAAGAGAGAATAGGATACTCATGTGGTGTATAAACACTGGCATTGACTAATTGGACCTGAAGCCTGTGACAATCTACGTATGTAACTCTACGTAATATTGTTGTGTAAATAAATATTTTCATTTTTGCTCCAATATGCACTTTTGCACTCTCATACCTTTTTCGACCGTTGAGCAAGTCATAGAGTTGGCCACAGTACATTTCATAGAAGCTTATCCAGATGAAAAGACGTGACCCTGGTTTGGACGTCTTCAGCTCCTTGAAGAGATCCTTAGCAGCAAGTGCGTAAAGCCCAGGATTTTGAGAAGTCCCAATCATGGTGTGAGTTTTTCCAGCTCCTGTCTGTCCGTATGCAAAACAAGTTGCCTTCCCACTAGATGTCAAAATTAGGGAGAAACAAAAAAATAAAGTAGAAACTTTCTTCTTCAAATGTCCGAAGCAAATGTACACAAGAATTGTACCCACTATTACCAATGACAATTTCAAACCTAAAACACATTTGCCCAACCCCATAAAAACTAAAACCTCATTCCAACATGGTTTAAATATTTGAGCCGTAGAAGTTTGTGAATAATTACTTCACCACAGGACAAAAATCTTCCAAGAGTGAAACAAATAATTAATTGAAGCACAGAGGAGTGTAATTCAATGTGATAATTATCCCAGAGATATTATCGCATCATCAGAATGTTTGCTCCCGATTATAGAGGAGTAGAAGGCAATAACCCTGAGAAAATAGTTGAGCCCAAAGACAACTATAGATCAAGATATTCAGTGGTTATTCATAGAGTGATGGTTTCAATCAATGATGATAACATCAAATATTAGATTTTCACAGCATGGCCTATAAGCTGTTTCCGAACATGCAGGCAATGCCTAAACATACAATAGTGGATTTTGGAATCTTCATATATCTCAAGGATCATGTGGAGAAGGCTGACTGCTGTAAATAACCACCTGCCATTTTAAGTATTTTACTTTGAAATGTGCGTACACCAATCAATCAAGAATCTATTCCTGTCCCAGCCATTTTTTTGTCCCACCTTACATTCCCAAAACATGTCCAAAGCTATTTAACATTTGATGAGTCAGACGCTGTGTTTCCCTACTGTTTTTTATTTTGATGCCAATTGAAAATGGCATCACAATCATTTCAAGAAGAAGATATTTGAACCACACGCAAACCATAAATTGAATTTTAAAGACAAATGGTAAATTCCTGTAGAAGTTATGCATGTAGGGGGCCGGGGAAGATCAACAAGTTCCATTCAAAAGAGACCATGAAATAAAAAGGTAAACACACCCAGAATTTTAAAGCAATTAACAATAACGATGATAAAACAAAGCAACATACCCATTAAACACATGCTGGATGAGGGGATAAGTAGTTTTCAAATACACGTCATAATTGGTGCAAGTCTCCTCAAACACTTCATCAAAATAAAAAACATGCTGAAAATGAATCATATAATCATTTAAATCAAAGCATATCTCAAATTTGAAATGTCTGTGGGCATGGGATGGTCAAACAATTTTGAATTGAAACTTAAAATTAATGTAAGAGACTGAGTTTCCTGTAAATGAAACTCATTTGCCATTTACTCCTAGTTAACATAAGGCTATATATACTCCTTACATTTAGTATTTACTTCTAGTTAAGCTCCACTTTCAAAGTCTGCAATTAGTGGCAAAAAATCCTTTTCATTCTTGGGAGCTGTTAAATGCAATAAAATTACAGCTCAAGTAACCAGATATTGGGGTCCAATTCACACTATTTCTTAATGGAATTCCTGAACAAGTTACACAAATAAGGACTCGTTCTGGTAGCTGTAAGCTTGACACGTTTGACCCGCTGTGTTAAAAAGCGTTTCTCTAAAACAAATCTATCATCTTACTTGTTGAATATACTGTGTAGGTCAACAGCTTCCTTTCTTTCATGAATAAGGACAGATTTTCTCTCTTCCACCATTGCAATATCTACTTCTCCCCGTCTCTCCTCTTGAGCTCCCAGTGGCCGCTTTCTAACACAGACCCGGATTTTCTCTGTGTCAGTCCAAACTTGGTCTTTCCCCGGGTACCTAGAAATAAATGTATAGGATATGAAAGATGCAAATAAACTACAGATCCTGCAAACAATTCCAAAACTGTGCTCTGTGTGGTCAGGTGTTTAGTACAGACACCGAGTTTTACTCACAAATGGAAACACAGGAATGAAGAGCGTTGGAAAAACAACAAAATTACATTTATATAGTGCCTTTCACGTCGGGAGAACGTCCCAAGGCGCTGGACAGACAGAGTTTCGGACCCGAGCTGGACATCGGGATCGTGGAGGGTGGAAGGGGAAAGCAGGGCGATCAAAAGCACGGTTGAAGAAGAGAGTCTTGAGATGGGTCTTGAAAGAGGCAAGGGAGGGGGCAAGGCAGAGGGACTGCAGGATGGAGTTCCAGAGTGTAGGGCAGTGTGGCGGAAGGCCCACCCGGCAAAAATGGGAAGAGCGAGGCGGGTGATGCGAAGCAGGCATGGATTGAGTGACCAAAATATTATTTTTTTGGGGTATTATTATTCCACGAAAAGCAATCCGCCAATCAACTCACAATTGGGCTCCCAGTTACCGCTAGATAAACAAGAGGTGTGCAGAGTAAGGAAATTTGCCCAACATTTCGCCCTGCCAGTAACAGAACCCAGGTCTCTCTTAGCATAGATCTTGATTAGAACAGACAATTACATTCTAATATGGATAGAGTTCTATAACAATAACTTGGATTTATATAGCGCCCTCCACGCCAGAAGGCGTCTCAGAGCGCTTCACAGTAACGGATCCTGGGGCCGAGTCAGGGGGAGCGGGAGGAAGGTGACCAAAGGCCCGGTAAAAAAGAAAGGTCTTCAGCCGAGATCTGAAAGTGGGAAGAGAGGGGGCGAGGCGAAGGGAGTGAGGAAGGCAGTTCCAGAGCTTCGGGGCGTAGTGGCTGACGGCAAGGCCGCCGATGGTGAAGCAGAGGACTCGGGGGACAAGGAGGAGGCCAGACCCGGTGGAGTGAAGGCAGCAGGCACTGTTGTGAGGAGAGAGGAAGTCAGAGAGGTAGGGGGGTGCAGAGGAGTGGAGGAATTTGAATACAATAATACGGTAATAATCCCTCCAAAAAAAACAATAATAAATTGGTCATTTTCAATCTACGACTGTTTGTGGGACATTGCTGTGCGCAATTGGCTGCCGCGTTCGCCTACAAATATACAGTCAATTCACTTTACAGTGTGTTCTGTGAAGCGATTTGGGACGTCCTCCCGACGTGAAAAGCCCTATATCAAATGCAAGGATTATTATTATTATTACAAGGGTGAGGATCTTGAAGTCGATCCTCTCTGGGATAGGCAGCCAGACTGTGTAATCGGGGAGCGGAATTTGGTGCGGGTGAGAATGCGGGCGGCAGAGTTTTGTATGACCTGGATTTTATGAATGGTAGTGGAGGGGAGACCGGTGAGGAGGGCATTTGAATAGTCCAGCCGAGAGGTGACAAAGACATGGACCAGAGTTTCAGCAGCTTTTGGAGTGAGGTATTGGCGGAGACGGGCGATGCATCGGAGGTGGAAGAAAGCGGTGCTGGTGACGGACTGGATGTGGGGGAGAAAGGATAATTGGGGGTCGAACCTGACACCTAGGTTGCGTACGGGTTCAGAGAGTTTTAGGTGGAGTTCGGGTAGGTGGAGGAGGTGAGAACCGTGTGATTTTAGACGTTGACGAGAGCCAAAGAGTATGGCTTCTGTCTTGTCAACGTTCAGCTGAAGGAAATTCACACTCATCCAGCTCCTGAGGTCTGACATGCAGGCTGACAGACATCAGGGGACTGGGGGTCGCAAAGTGAGGTGGAAAAATAGAGTTGGATGTCGTCCACATACACATGGAAGTGTACCCCATGTCTGCGGATGACATCCCCAAGAGGGAGCATATAGATCAGAAAGAGGAGAGGACCAAGGATGGATCCTTGGGGTACCCCGCAGGTAACCGGGTGAGAGTGGGAGGAAAAGCCGTTTGTGCAGATTATTGCTGGCGGTTGGTGAGGTACGACTCGAACCAGGCGAGTGCGGTCCCACTGAGGTGGATGAGGGAGGAAAGGCGGTGGAGGAGGATGGCGTGATCGACTGTGTCGAAAGCGGCGGAGAGGTCCAGCAGGACAAGGAGGCAGAGGGAGCCCTGGTCACAGATAGAGAGGATGTCATTTGTGACTTTCACAAGCGCAGTCTTTGTACTGTGGGCGGAAACCGGACTGGAGGGGTTCGAAGAGGGAGTGGGAGGAGAGGTGTGCGCAAAGTTGATTGGCAACAACGCGTTCTAGGACTTTTGCGAGGATTATTGCACTCGCCTCGCAAGCGAGAGACCTGGGTTCAATTCCCTGTAGGGCGAAACCTTGTACAAGTTTCCTTACTCCACATGATTGATAATAATCCCTCAAGAAAAGAAAACAATAATAAATTGGTCACTTCAATCCACGACTGTTTGTGGGACACTGCTGTGCGCAATTGGCTGCCGCGTTTTACCCACAAATATACAGTAAATTCACTTTACAGTATATTCTGTGAATCGCTTTGAGACATCTAGAAGACGTGAAAAGCACTATATCAAATGCAAGGATTATTATTGACCGTTTCCCCCCTGCTCGGGTCATGACCCAGCTGTGCAGCGGAGAAAGGGAAATAAGATTAAAACATCTGCTGTGATATAATAATATAGTAAAACAAACTTAATGAATTGAATTTGAATGTTCCTATGTTATTATGCAACGGGTTTGATGAGCTGAATGCTCTGTTTCTGTGATTATGTTCATAATTATATCTGGTGGGATGATTCACTTCCAGGACAGTTTTACCTTATAGGAGTGCTATGGAGTTGCTTATTGTGCATTTGATTTATCACCAGCAAATGTATCGATATTCTTTTTGCCTTTTGCTATAAATAGTGGTCTCTCTCAATTCTAAAAATAAGAAATCAATGTGCAATCTCATCATAAAATGGCTGCAAAAGTACCTGAGAACAGAGTGTGGTAGCCCATAGTTATATCCTGAAACGTGTATGATCTTGTGTAAATTTGGCATTTCAATATCTTCAGAATCCCTGGAGTTGTTGTTAGGCATGAACATCATTGAGCAGCAATCTTCCCCCTCAGGAAACCTTTGTACTTCCTTCACAAAATGTCTGGTGTGCAGTTGGTCCACCGGTGAAGTAGAATCCAATAATGTACAACCAGTGTCCTGATGTCGATTCACACACAATAACTGAGCAGAACGATCCGACTCCAAATCCTGATTTAACTGGTCCCCTTTGTTACTCAAGGAAACAAAGTCCAAGTGCGGTCGAGGACCAGTTTTCTCTCTCTCCACCCACAGGTTAAGTGAGCCTGTCTGGGCTTGTCCACTGCTTGCACTACAGTCATGTTCCTCTTCCTGCACAGCCTTTATGATCTGAATCAGATGGAACAAACGTTTTCGATCATGCATACTGTTTACTCCCAAAATGGAGTAATCATTCATGGAGAGCTTCGCCAGCTCCTGTGTTCTCAGATACCCCATCGCCGTGAAGTGAGTGTAATACCGCTCCAATCCTGCCTCACAAAGGCACTCATAAAGACAGGAGGACATACCTTTGGCTCTGTCACCACTGGAAGAAATAAAAGTTTTCAATTTAATAATAATCGTTGTATTTGATATAGAGTCTTACCACTTCAGAAGGACGTTTAACATAATCCTTTAGTATAACTAGAAGAAAGCTTCAATTACCAAATTCTCTTCAATTACCAAATTCTACCAAATTTTTAGTCAATTGATCCATCAATTGACTAACAACCGGGTTCCTACTTACTGCCAGGTAAACAGAGGTATGTGGAGTAAGGAAACTTGTACAACGTTTCACTCTGTCAGGGAATCGAACCCAGGTCCTCTCATTTGGGAGGCGAGTGCTCTAACCGCTAAGCCTACAGGACTCCACCATGCTTCAGAGTTTCAGTTGTTTTTATCAAGTGACTGTTTTTGTAGGCAAATGCAGGCAACAAAATCATGCAGAAAGCCAAGTGAATGATCATTTTTTTCAAAGAGGATTGGTGACAGGCAGAGGTAAAAATCCCTTCTCTTTTCAAATAGTATCATGGGATCTTTAACATGTTTAACAGCTCCCTCAATTATGCAGTGGAGCGTATACTCTATTCCCCCCTCATACAATACACTCTTGATAACTTGAACTCGATTACTTGATAATACAGCAAACTCCTGATAACATGACTCTGGCACAACTTGTCATTACCACTTAAATCATCATCTGTCAATACTCTGGCCATATTTATTTATGTATTTGGACATAGAATACAAAATTACATTTGTATAGCGCTTTTCACTTCGGGAGGGTGTCCCAAGGCGCTGGACAATCACAGATTTGTATCCGAGCGGGAGGCTGGGGGGTGTTGGGGTAAGGGAGGGTGGAGGGCAGGGAGGGTGGCCGAAGAGAAGAGTCTTGAGACGTGCCTTGAAAGCACGGTCGAAGAGGAGGGTCTTGAGACGTGCCTTGAAGGAGGCAAGGGGGGGAGTGAGGCGAAGGAAATGTGGGATGGAGTTTCGAAGGTTGGGGGCAGAGAGGCTGAAGGCCCGATTGGCGATGGTGGGACAAGCCGGGCGGGGGACACGGAGCAGGCGCCTGTTGAGCAGAAAGGTTGATAAGGGGTTGTTAGTAGGTCGGAGCGGTAGGAAGTGGCAAGGCCACGGAAGGCCTTGAAGGTGAAGACGAGGATTTCGAACTCTATCCTCTATGGGGAGCCGGGCAAGGGTGGGGGTGATGGGGTCACAGAGCCTGGGGTGCCCAAGAGGACACGAGCTGCGGAGTTCTCGATGATCTGCAGTTTTGTAGAGGGAAGATTGCAGTGTATTTCTTTGAAAAAAAAGTACAGTACACTCACATAACTGAACCCCCCCACCACCGCCCCCGAGCTACTACAGTACACCTAATAATAATCCCTCCAAAACAAAAAACAATAATTAAATTGGTCATTTTCAATCCACGACTGTTTGTGGGACATTGCTGTGCGCAATTGGCCGCCGCGTTCGCCCACAAATATACAGTCAATTAACTTTACAGTGTGTTCTGTGAAGCGCTTTGGGACGTCCTCCCGACGTGAAAAGCGCTATATCAAATGCACGTATTATTATTATTATTATTATTACAGTACACAGCCCGTGGTTTTATTTATCGATTGATTGATTTTTAGACACCCACCACACGTTATTTTTGCCTTTTGTTGTGATATATATATATATTTTTTAAAAATACACACATTCTTTACCTTTCAAAAGTGGCATAACACGAGCAGAGTCAGCGGATAGCCACCCGCCCGCTTTTTTTTCTTCGACGAGCGGTGCTCCTGGAACTTTTTTCCCCATTAATAACAATTATTATAACGAGTTGGGAAAGGCACACAGTGGGGGGGGGAGGGGAGAGGGGGGGGGGAGTGGCGGTTGGCGGCAGCGTAACGAGGGCTGAGATTATTGAGTCACTTCACGCGGTATATATATATATATGTATAAAAAGGCTGAAATGCACCTTTTTTTTTGAGGCACGAGGTCCCCCATCAAGTCCCAGCTCTACAGAGCGTGAATGTGGTTGAAAAGGACAGGACTGTAACGGCTGTGAGGAGTCGGGGGAGGGAGGGAGGGAGCGAGCGCTCACCTGTGGGCCTCGCTGTCCCGCGCACTGTGGACGGACGCGGCGCCTCTGGAAACCATGGCAACGCCTCCTCCGAGGCCCCGTCGGTGGGGCGAGGGGTAGCCCGGGCCACTGCCTGAAACTTAATGCCGCGTTTACAGCCCAAAGCCGACCCCAAAAGTAGCCCCAAATGGTGTACAGCACTCCGCCTCCTGTACGGGAAGCAGTTTTAGGGTTTCAGTCCTTTTTTGGGGGGGAAATTAAAAGTTTGCGAAGAAGAGGGAAGCAATTTTTCTTTAAAATGTATGATGATGATTATTATTATAAAAACCCGCCCGTTCCGCCCGGCATTGGCCGAAGAGCGCGCGCGCGCCGAAAGCCCGCGCCCGAACGCACCAATCACAGCGAGGCACAGCCGCACGTGACACACGCTCTCTCCTCCTCCCTCGCCCCCGCCCATGGTCACACTGACCAATCAGAACACGGCTGTCATTCCGACCAATCAGAAAGTAGGATCGCTGCGTCTGTCGGACCGTTTCCTCAGCGTCAGTTCTTCATTCACAGTCTTTATTATTAGTCCTAACAATCAACTGAGGGATTAGTGCCGCCCACCCGCGGCTCTGATTGGTGGGTTGGCCTTGAGCCGGCCCCTGTGATTGGCGCGCAGGGGCATTGAATGCTCATTGGCCAGTGGGGCCGTCACTCACGCGGCACTTCCGGAGGCCAGGCAGCAGCTTCCGGTGATGGCGGTCAGGGCCTGTGGCTTCGTTATCTTCAGAAGGTTCACCCGGGGTTTGACCTCAAAATCTCAGGACAGTAGCATTGAGTTCCTGCTCTTACAGACCTCGTACGGGGAGCACCACTGGACGCCTCCTAAAGGTGAAGCTGAGGGCCTCGCGTCCAGGGGGCGGCGAGAAATCCTGGGTCAAGCAGAGCCTGACTCAGCCCCTCCCTGATCCCAACCCCCTCTGGAACTCTCCCTCAATCCCTCCGCCACGTCCTCTCCCACTTCAACCACAAATCCCACCCGAAGACCTTCCTCTTTTTTTTGATCGTACTTACGGTCACCCCCACACACACACACACACCGCCTCGGGCTCGTTGTCAGACTCCACCGCCGTCAAGCGCTCCGGGGCGCGACCCCGTGTAAAGGGCGCTATTATAAATGCAAGTTGTTGTTGTTGTTGTTGTGCTGCAGGAGAGTTAATTGAAATCATCACTCACGTTAGGTATTGGCAGTCATAAAGCGCTCCTCAGCTTTAGCCACTCACTCATTACCGGCTGTGCATCGCATTACTATTAGTGGCTTTGGTAGATCGAGTCGAGTACAATTTGTAGGTGGTCTATAAAGATGTTTCTATGTGTAGAACCATCCATGTGATGGTTCATCCTTATGTGTACACCCACGATATGGCTCACTCTCCCTTGCAGTGTACTGGGTATCCTCTGTGTTGAATCCTGACTACTGAATGCAAGTCACTATAACTAGGTATAACTTGACTAATGAGTTCTACCACGACCACAGGTACTACCAATTATTCTTTAAATCAAAGCAAATTGGGAAGCTTCAGTCAATCAGGTGTATTTTTCACCTTTGTGACTTAGGCTGATCCTGTTTGTGTTTTACAATTCTGTTTTACAATTAATTTTAATTAAGATTACATTTGTATAGCGCCTTTCACGTCAGGAAGATGTCCCAAGTCGCTGGACAGAGTACAGCATTTCAGCAAATCACACTTAAACTACACACGTTAGCAGCCGCTTGTAATGGAATTAATGTAAAAGTGCACAAAGAACCAACCTCTGACTACTACAACAACATCAACAAAATCACATTTGTATACCGCCTTTCACGTCAGGAGGACGTCCCAAGGTGCTGGACAGTGTACAGCATTTCAGACTCGAGCTGAGGTTGGGGGGGAGAAAGGGGGTGGCTGATGGCATGGTCGAAGAGGAGGGTCTTGAGGCGAGACTTGAAGGAGGCTAAGGAGGGGGCGAGGCAGAGTGATTGGGGGATGGAATTCCAGAGGTTGGGGGCAGAGTGGTTGAAGGCTCTCCCGCCAGTGGTGGGGTGGGTGGGAGGGGGAACGTGGAGCAGCCAGAGCCGGCTGAGCGGAGAGCGCGGGCGGGTTGATAGGGGGTTAGGAGGTCGCAAAGGTAAGGTGGGGTGAGGCCATGGAGGGCTTTGTAGGTGAAGACCAGGATCTTGAACTGGATCCTCTGAAGGATAGTGAGCCAATGAAGTCGGGGGAGATGGGGTCACGGAGTTTGGTGCTGGAGAAGACACGGGCTGCAGAATTCTGGATTGTCCGCAGCCTGTGGAGGGAGGAGTTGGGAAGGCCGACAAGCAGGGCGTTTGCATAGTCGAGCCTGGAGGTGATGAAGGTATGAACAAGAGTTTCAGCGGCCTGAGGGGTGAGGTAGTGGTGGAGTCGGGCCATGTTACGGAGGTGAGGGAAGGCGGAGCGGGTCATGGCTTGGATGTGGGGGAGAAAAGACAGTTGAGGGTTGAACAAGACACCGAGGTTCCTGACTGACTTGGTGAGTTGATGTGCAACCATGGAGGTTGATGCTGCCAGAACCTGAGATGCAGAGCCGCTGGCGTGAGCCAATCAGGAGGGCCTCAGTCTTGTTCACATTCAACTGTAGCAAGTTTGCCCTCATTCAGGACTTGATGTCCGACCGGCAGTCTGTCAGGACAGCAGTGGTCCTGGAGTTGAGGGTGGAAGCAGAAAAATAGATACTACTCATTAATAGTCAGAGCACGTATCTTTGTTATCATCGGGTTGAAAAATAGCGACTGCGAGCACATGATGCTCCTTTTTTGGGAATTGAGCACCTCCCCGAATTAGGGTACCCAATGATAATTGTATTAAACCAATTACTTGATGTAATTGATGCCTTTTTTATGGTCCAATCATAGCCTTGGCTCATCGGTAGGACCTGTAAGGGCAGTCACCCCAGTCACTGGGGTCAGGGAGTCATCCCACTCCGCTCCTGTTAAGCCTGCAAAACAAAGCCCTAACGGGTAGAGTGGTGCTAGCTGTACAAGCAGCGGGAAAGCTTACCAGACAGCAATATCAATGGCAAGCTATGCATTTTTAGCTGGTTAGACTCCAGCAGTTCCAACACACACTCTGGGGTCCCCAAGCCTTGGCAACCTGTCCCTAACATTTTCTGGAATCAGGTAACCAGGATGCGTCCCTCCAGGGAGAGAGTGTGCATTCCATTCCAACAATCTATCCCTGAGATTTCCATGTGTAGGTGGGATGCATTTCCATGTGTAGGTGGGATGCACGGTGATGGGTGCATGTCGGACATCCAGCTGATCACCCAAAAAATCACTTTCTAAGTGTTCAAATAATCTATTGATTTAACTGTACAGATTGTTTTTTTTCAGTTTTTACACCACAATTTTTCACTGTTAAAATTGCCCACTGACAACAACAACTTGCGTTTATGCATTGACAGAGCTTAAAGGTCTCCCCCTTTTTCTCTTAAGGTCACGTTGATCCAGGAGAGGATGATTTTCAAACCGCACTTCGTGAAACAGAGGAAGAAGCAGGATTGAAAGCTGAAGAGTTTCATGTGCTTGATGGGTACAAGAAAGTGTTAACCTACAAAGTAAAGGAAAAGCCCAAAACTGTTATCTATTGGCTGGCAGAGCTGAAGGACTATAACACAGAAGTAAAACTGTCTCATGAGCATCAAGCATTTCAATGGTTAAAAGTGGATGAGGCCTGTAAGTTAGCTAAATATCAAGATCTGCAGAATCTCCTGAAAGAAGCTCATCAATTCATCTCCACAATTAAGTAAAGTCAAGATTGTATATATTCAGTTGACCTAAGTGTGGAAAGATGTTTGACTTTTTTTTAATAAAAAGCAGAAGAAAGGAAATCTGTTCTCAATGTGATTGTTCACTTGGAATTGGATGCTGTAAATAATGATTAATTATGGATGATTATGTTATGTATGATCATAACCATAAGTGTTCATTCATATGATTATGGGTAATGTACTCGCTGTTGTTTAATAAGGAAAATGGGCAATTGAATGACCTATGAAACCCCTGAAGTAAGCGGTGAAATGGAACCTAGGGGTCAGCAGGGTGGTGGTACAAACTGGTTTTAAAGCTACCAAAGAAGTTAGACGAAGTTACATTTTCCAGAACAAAGAAACATGTCAGAGTAGCAGTTTCAAGGTCTTATGAGGGAGGCTGGTACACACCAGATAAGACAGCTCAAAGAATGATGCGCAGATGCGAAGAGAGGGTTAAGGAAGGGTCACGGTATCATCCCGTGCCAAAACCCTTTTGACTTAACTAGTTTAACAATAGACAGAGGTCAAGTAAGGAAGGGAAGAAAATGCTGACTTGAGAGCATTCCAGGGAAGAACTAATTGAATTTAAAAACAAGTGGATCAGGAGACTAAAACGTCAGGGAGATAAGGAAAAGAGGACAATGGCCGACAAGACCTGGTCTTTGTACGGACGCTCCTAGAAGTATAAATATAGGAAGTCAAGAGGTAGCAAGTGAGAACGACTCCTTGGAGGACGAGCAGGAGGGCTGAAGGAGGGAGAACCACAAGGACTCCTAGTTAAAACTCCGACCAGCGAGCAGGCAGTCTGTCCAGATAATCACTGGGTGACTCAGGAGAGCAGGAGGAGAGAGCCTGAGAACGTCCGTCAAGATGATTACTCGACTGACCAGAGAAGGGCACCACGCACATTCCAAGAGGGATAGCTGAGTGAGCCAAGTATCTGAGGGAGAGAGAGAGATCCTGCTACAAGAGCTGGGGGCCAACAGAGTGCACACTGCATACCGGTCCAAAACTCGTTGCTGGAGTATCCTATCGTGATCCTACTGAAGCGGCTGCTAGTTACCGGTAGTATAGTGATACGCACACTCACGCATCCATACACGACACACCTTCTTTCTTGTACCCACTGTGTTAATCTTATATGATTTTATTAGTTGTATACTTTTCTTAAATAGTATTCGCGATCAGGATGCTATGATTTCCTCATAAATTAGTGTTGCGAGCCAGTTGGGGTAATCATGATTATGATAGTCGTCTGTGAACATATTTGTTAACCATATTGACTCAAGTGCGTTCCTGTTTTAATCGGGTGTTGTTGAGCCTGGAGTTCCTACTATAACTTTTAACCTAACATTGTACTGATCAGTATATTTTCAAGTATATTCGGAAACTTAAATAAACCCTATTAAACAACCATTGGTCTCCGAGTCTTGATTGTATCGATTCTAAGCAGCCCTGCGAGAGTTAACAGTGTTCTTTCTTGCTTTCATCTCAAGGCAGTGACTCATGCTGGATACAACCCCACAACTCTGGAGCTCCTGCAGACAATGTTAAACATTTGCCAATTGGTTTATTTCAGCCCTCAATGCAAATTCACACAAAACCTGGAGATGCACAAGAATGTGCTGCTTCATTGACATTATCCTGGCAATAAATATAAAAAAGCATTGATGTACTTGCACAGACCCATTTTGTTAAAAGTGCTGGTTCATTGGCAAATTTAGTTATTTTCAAGTAACCATCAGTAGTCAATTTAAGAATTGATTTGGATTCAAAAATATTTCAGACCATTGTACTTATTATTTAATGTACTTTTTCCACGTCAGCCCTTCAGCTCTGTTGTGGGAATAATCTGGACTATGGCAGGGTGAAACCTTGGGCAAATTTCCTTACTCCACATGTCTGGTAATAATCCCTCAAGAAAAAATAAAATAATGAATTGGTCACTCAATCTAAGGCTGTTTGTGAGACACTGCTGTGCGCAATTGGCTGCTGCATTTCGCCCACAAATATATAGTCTATTCACTTTACAGTATATTCTGTGAAGCACTTTGAGACGTCTAGAAGATGTGAATAGCACTATATGAAATGCAAGGATTATTATTATTATTTCTCTGTATTTTGTGACATCCAGATTAATAAATATTAGCCAATATTGGGGCTATTCTTCAATTGACAGTTTTGATAGTCAGTGTCCATGGGCTTTGTGGAGTCCTGTAGAGTATTTGTCAGAGCATTCAAGCAGGGCGAATCCTTAGGCGATTTTCCTGACTCCACACTCCTCTGTAGCAGTAACGAGGAATCTGGTTGTTAGTTGATTAGCAGATTACTTTCTGTGGGTAATAATCCCTTAAAAAAATAATTTGGTCACTCAATCCATGACTATTTCTGGGACACTGCTGTGCGCAATTGACTGCCGCGTGTTGCCCACAAAACATATAGTCAATTCACTTCACAGTGTATTCTGTGAAGCACTTTGAGATGTCTCAATTACATTATAAGGCCTATATCAAATGCAAGGATTATTACTATGTGTGGGGGAGAATCAAAATTGTGCCTGATCCAATCTTTGTTCAATCATCCATGCTCTGCTGGGTGTAGCAGCAAGCACTAGGGGAGGGATACACAGTAATTAGGGTGGATGGAAGTCTAAGCTTTCACTGGAATGTAGTTTTGTGGGAGTACTGCATTGTTGGATGTCCTGTCTTTTAGATGAGACATTAAACACAAGTTCTTGTCGTCAGAAATGGGATGTTAAAAGTTCCATAGTGTTTGAAAACAGAAGGGAATTTTTCCCTGTGTCCTGATCAACAGTCCCCAGATTAATTGGTCATTCGTTTCTTGGCTGTATTTGCCTGTAAAATCCAGTCACTACACTGTACAGAAAATTGTAAAGCTCTTAGTGCAATAAGGCCCCATATCAAATGCAACAATTATTTATTACACTGCAGCTTCGATATACCAGGATGTTTGGGATCCATAAAATCCCAACCCACTTTATAGCAAGGAACGATGGCGGGTTTGAATGTATTTGTGTGCAACCAGAACAGCTGCTGGCCAAGTCCCTTGCTAAAAGACAAAATGCCGGACTTACGGCTCATCGGGTTACTGCAATGTCATTTCCTATTTTTTTACACACAAGCATAACAGAGACATTGGCGGCAACCTGAAGCAAATGAACTTTTGCCTTTTTTTTAAAGTGAAAAACTGAATTGGTTGACTTTTGGGTCATGAAGTTGCTGCTGAGATGCAATAATAATAATAAAAATAATCCTTGCATTTGATATATAATCATAATAATCCTTGCATTTGATATAGTGCTTTTCGCGTCTTCTCGACGTCTCAAAGCGCTTCACAGAATATGCTGTAAAGTGAATTGACTGTATATTTTGTGGACGAAACGCAGCAGCCAATTGTGCACAATCGTGGATTGAGTGTCAAATTATTATTATGTACACACACATACACAGAATGGTTGAGAAAGAAATGCGTACAGACAGGAAACTCATTAACTGAATGACTGGTTTTGCTTGTGTGTTATTAAACTAAGAATTTCTTAAAATGGCAGAATGACAAATAACAGAGCCTACGTAAGATTGCTTCTTTAATGAACGGTACATTTAATACAGAGGTCAACGGTTTTTACCATATTCTCAGTTCACCTTTTTGTAAAACGAATCATGTCCTAATGATACGTTTTATGAGTCTCCCGAAGCTCATTTTGCACATTATGGGTTTGAGAAATAGAAGAAAACTATTGGAATATGAATAAGAGAAGCAAATGTTCAATCAATGAATATCCCAAACAGATACTGGAGATTAATCTCAGAACCCAGAGAGTTATCCAGGCACACATCTACATGCAATTAATCCTCTTAAATGCTACGTAAAAGCCATTGTCAAATGTTACAGATTGATTCTTCAGTTCAGGCCCTTCTCAATGAGTTAGTGAATCATAGAATACACAGAATGTACAGCATTCTGGCCATTCAGACTACTAGTCCATACCGGTGTGTATACATTACATGACCCCCCCCAACCCCCCCTCATACCCCACTATTCCCTTATTCCCCTTTCTCACTTAATTGACAATATTGATAGATCTCCCTCATACTTCGACAATTTTGTTTAGTCTCCCAAGTGAGATGAGGGAGTAAGGATAATTTAGTTCCAGAATAATGAAATTATAGAAATTCTAGTCCAGGAGGATCGACATTCAACTCATAGGGTCCCATTATGCGTTCTAACTCGTGAGTGCACCAAAACAGATTGTGGCAATGTAGATAGTGAGTGGCTCAAACTGCAGCTGACTTGTGTCATGCTCAGGACTGCAATTTGTCAGTGTGATCAGTTTTATTTTTTTAAAAAAAAGTAGCACCTATCTCAATTTCTATGAAAATATCCAGCTTTATGTCTATAGGAGAGGAGAATGAACGGTTAGATCCGTTTCTAATCCATTACAAAATCTTTTGGCTATTGTAGTTTTGGAAAATACCTAATTGAAGGACAAAAGATGCTTCAGAAAGATTTCTGAATTTGCGATCAGGCACTCTATCACTAAGTATGGAATGAGTCTCTGGAGTGCTGTTTTGTACTATGTAATATTTGCAAAATGCTTATGCTCTTGTCAAGTGCATACCTTAATCACTATATTAACACAAGGCAAGTCCGACTACAGTTTTTAGAGCTTGAACTCACAACTTTCTGGCTCAGAGGCAGGAGTGCTACCACGTGAGCCAAGTTGACATGTGACATAACTGTTGTGAGGGGGTTGGGTGGTGGTNGGGGGGAAGAGAGTACAAACAATAATGTAAAGTTGTGGAGTAAAGGCATAATAAGTTTGTGTTTCAAACACAAATTTCTAAAACAGGCTTACTATCCTATTTTCCAGTCATTGCAATTTTCTTTTACCATTTTATCATGTTACTGAGTATCAAAAATAACTCCCGCAATGTCTCAGTGAGTCTTCCCAGTGAGTAGCTGAGCCATAAAAAAAGTCTCACTTGCTAATGCTGTTTTGGCTGAGTTAGCTAGTCTCACTCAGGGTGGCAGTAGAGATTCTACATTTGAAGACGAAAAAAATCTAAAAAGCTTCATAGTTCTAACAGTAACACCATTGCCTTAAAATCTGGAACTGTGCAAAACATTTTGGAAATTTCTTAAATTCAGTCTTAATTTGGAGGCTGAATTTCCGCAGTTCTTAAGATTTTTCAAACATGACAAACGGGCATAAAGCTCAAGTAGATTAAAAATTTGGGGTCTCTGATCACCATCCCCGCCCACACATACATACTCGATCAGCGATAGTTCCTTCAGAGTTGCCAGGTGTATTCTTATAGTGCACTGCAGCAACCACACACACCTAACATACTAATAGCCACTGCAGTAATTGTTATTATCAAACAGTGGCGTTATCTTGCCGTCCTTCCATTCGATCATTATTTCCCCATGTCTTAACGATGGGGAACGAGATTTATTGTGCTGAAGTTTCAGACTGGTTGTCAAGGATGTTTTTTCATCTCCTGAGTCAGCGATCTCTGTGATGTTTAACATCTTCCTTTTCCTGATCAAAATAAACATGTTTGTTAGTGAGGCTTTGTTGCATGACGGTGAACCCCTTATTTGGTTCATCTGCGGTCACTGCCATAAAGATTCATCATTCGCTCTAGAAAACAATTACATTGTTTAAAAAAGATTATGCCCAGATTTTAAATGTTTAATCTTTTAATACTTTGCATACAGAGTCCCCCCACCCCCACCTTCCCACCAACTTGGCGTCAGCTGCAAATGTAAATACCTTGCACTGAGTCTGCAAATCTAGGTCATTAATTTATAAAAGGAACAGGTAGGTATCCCAGTACAAACGTATGAGGCATACATCTGCCCATTTTCACCTAATTCCCCTAATAACTACTCTCTGCTTTCCTCCCTTCGGGCAATTTTGGAATTCATGTCCATGTCTTACCTTTAATGCCCAGTGACATCAATTTGTGAAAGAGCCTCTTATGTGGTGGCTTGACAATTGTCTTTTGGAAGTCTAGATGCACTAAATCAGATGGCTTTGCAGTGTAAATTTGGGATTTCACCTCATCAAAAAAGTCTACAGGACTGGTCTCCCATTTTTGAACCCATACTGGCTATAAAATGTATTAGATTATTTTTATCCAAGTAATCTTCCTCTTTTTGATTGACTCATCAGTTTTCCAATTATTGAGACCAATCTTTTGGGTCTGTACTAGTCTGTAGTTACCAGGTATGGCTCTCTCATCTTTCTTGAATATGGGAACCATATTTGCTTGCAAACCTCACCAGTGATGATCGACTCCTTCTTAATACCTGTCAGTGCTGTACAAATCTCCCACCTTGACTTTCTATGTATTATAGTTCACCCATCCTGGTGAATTAATTGGTTTTCAACCTCTTGAACACAATGAGTTTACAGAGGGGCAGGAGTAGATGGGAGAAAACATCACAAAATGTCCTCACATTCACATGCCCTTCCTCCCACTGCTTGGCAAAATGCTGATGATATTTCTCTCTGACTTCCTTTGATTCAATTCCACTCACAGAGATCAGGCTTATTCTGTCTCTGGAAGAGTTCCAGTCCTCACTCGGAGTGGGTAAAGCAGAAATGAACTGCTTCTTTGTGCAAGTTCCACGAGATCCTGAAATGTCTCCAGAACAATAGGAATGACCTTTAATTCTGATTGTATACTGGACAGTTCTGGGTGGAACAAAGGTGCTGAAAAGGCTCCATTCATGTTCCCATGACATTGGATCAAACACAAACAGACTGATAAATAAAATTTACAGTTGCAATTTTTTAAAAAAACTCCTCTCTCTTGAAAGTGTTTTTCTCCCTACCTTTACAACAACTTGCACTTATATAGCACCCTCCACTGGTGGAGCCTGACCAGAACTGGTGAGATGTGGGTACAGAGTTTGGTCTGGGTAAGAATGCAGGCGGCAGAGTTCTGAATGAATAGTGGAGTTGGGGAGACCAGCGAGGAGTGTGTTTGAGTAATCCAGGCTGGAGGTGACAAAACCATGTACAAGGGTTTCGGCTGCATTTGGGGTAAGGTACGGTCGGAGGCAGAGGTGGAAGAAGGTGGTCTTGGTCAGGGACCATATGTGGGGGAGGAAGGACAGCTGGAGGTCGAACCGGACGCCTAGATTGCGCACTGGTTCGGTGAGTCTGAGGAAGAGCCCAGGGAGGTTGGGGAGTTCAGATCCGCAGGAATGAAGATGTTAATGGGAACCAAGGTATATGGCTTCTGTCCGGTCCATATTCAGCTGCAGGAAGTTTACACTCAACCTGCTGTCTGCCAGACAAGCTGATAGCACATTGGCTGACCTGGAGTTGGTACTGGAGGAGGCAAAGTAGATTTGTGTGTCATCCGCACGCACACATGTGGAAGTTTACCCTGTGTCTGCAGATGACATCGCCCAGAGGGAGCATATAGATAAGGAAAAGAAAAGGGTCAAGGATGGGGCCCTGGGGTACCCCATAGGTGATCGGGCGGGGATAGGAGGAGAAAGCATTTGCCGAGATGAAATGGAGGCGCTTGGTTAAGTAGAACTCGAACCATGTAAGTGTGGTCCAGTTCCACTAAGGTGGATGAGAGAGGACAGATGGTGGAGGAGGATGGCATGGTCGACTGTGTCGAACGTGGCAGAGAGATCCAGGAGGACAACAACAACAAGATTCCATTTATAAAGCGCCTTTCACGTCAGGAGGACGTCCCAAGGCGCTGCACAGTTGGGTCATGACCCGAGCAGGGGGAAATGGTCAGGGCGAGGGGAGGGAAGGGAGGGAGCGAGGAGGGGGGAAATGGTCAGGGTGAGGGGAGGGAAGGGAGGGAGCGAGGAGGGGGAAGAGAGTCGAGAGGGGAGCTGAAGGCTCGGTCAAAGAGAAAGGTTTTGAGACCGGCCTTGAAGGAGGAGAGGGAGGAAGCAAGGCGAAGGCACTGGGGGATGGAGTTCCAGAGCCTAGGGGCTGAGAGGCTGAAGGCCCGACCACCGATGGTAGGGCGATTGGGGCGGGGGACGTGGAGCAGACAGGAGCCGGAGGAACGGAGGGTACGGGCAGGTAGGTAGGGGGATAGTAGGTCAGAGAGGTAGGAGGGAGCAAGGCCGTGAATGGCCTTGTAGGTGAGGATGAGGATCTTGAAATCAATCCTCTGGGGGATGGGGAGCCAGTGGAGGCGAGCGAGGATGGGTGTGATGTGGTCCCGAAGCCTGGTGCGGGACAGTACACGAGCTGCAGAGTTCTGAATGACCTGCAGCTTGTGGAGGGAGGTGGCAGGAAGGCCGGCGAAGAGAGAGTTCCCATAGTCCAGCCTTGAGGTGACAAAGGCGTGAACCAGGGTTTCAGCAGCGTGAGGGGTGAGGTAGTGCCGTAGCAGCGTGAGGAGGCAGAGGGATCCCTGGTCACAGATAGAGAGGACGTCGGTTTGTGACTTTGAAAAGCGCTATCTCTGTGCTGTGGGCAGAGCAAAAACCAGACTGCAGGAGCTCGAGAAGGGAATGGATGGAGAGTTGTGACTGAAGTTGACCTGCAACAATGCATTCCAGGACTTTGGCAAGGAAGAGTAGGTTGGAACTGGGACGGTAGTGTGAGAGATTACAGGGATCAATGGTGGATTTTTTGAGGAGGGGTGTGATGACAGCGGTTTTCAGGGAGTGTGGAAAAGAGCCTGAGGAGAGAGAGTGGTTGACCGCGTTGGCCAGCAGGGGGAAAGAGGAGGGGAGTTGAGTGTGAAGAAGTTTAGGTTTCTTCACACCAGAAGCGAATTTCTGACCAACAGAATTAATATGGTATTCTAATAATAATCCTTGCATTTGATATAGCGCCCTATCACTTGTTCAGATGTCTCAAAGAGCTACGCAGAATATACTGTATTGGTTTGACTGGGTATTTATTAAGTCCTGAATATAAATGTACGATTGCTTTTTTTTACAAAAACGGAATAGATAGATGGATGCGTGAAGAATAATATTTGACCTCGTCCGAAAACCAGCATGTCCCTCAATTCAGTGCTCCCCCAGTTCTGCCCCAGAGTGTCAACCTGGACTAGGAGCTCAAGCCTCGACATTGGCAGAAACGTGGCAGATGAAGTTTAATGTGGAGAAATGCGAAGTGTTGCATTTTGGTAGGAAGAATGAGGATGGCACAATCTTAAAGGGGGTAAATGAGCAGAGAGACCTGGGGGGCCACATAAGCAAATCTCTCAAGGTGGCAGGACAGGTAGATAAAGCTGTTAAAAAAGCATATGGGATACTAGGTTTTATAAATAGAGGCATAGAATTCAAAACTCAGGAGGTTATGTTGAATATTTATAAAAAGCTGGTGGTTTACCAGGATGGTACCAGGAATAAGTTATGAGGTCAGGTTAGCAAAACTAGGATTATTCTCCCTAGATTAGAGAAGATTAAGAGGCGATTTAATAGAGATTTTCAAGATCGTGAGAGGATTTGATAGGTTAAATCAAGAAAAACTGTTTCCACTGGCATGTGGGTCAGTAACCTGAGGACACTGATTTAAGGTAGTTGTTAATAGAAACAGAGGGGAGGTTAGGAAAACATTTTTCACCCAGCGAGTTGTTCGGATCTGGAATGCATTACCTGAAAGAGTAGTGGAAGCCGATTCAATAACAACTTTTAAGAGAGAAGTAGATGGGTATTTGGGGAGGACAAGATTGTAGTCTATGGAGAGAAAGCGGACCAGTGGGATTGAGTTGAATTGCTCTTTTCGTAGCCGGCGCAGACGCGATGAACCAAACGGCCTCTTTCTGTGCTGTATGATTCTATGATTCAGCTGAACTTATAGCATTCCGATACAGAGGCAAGAGAGTAAGGCCAATCTTACAGAAATATTTGATTAATGCTTTAGATTTTGTAACAGACAAATTGTGTAGTATTTACTTATCTGGTATCTGGGAAACAAAGCCATTTTAACTACTGTTGAATGAATCCTTGAACCTAATCTCTATAACTGAACCCTTTGTGTGAAGAGGAATACAGAAGACTAAAATTCACACTTACTTATTGTGAATGATGTTCAGTGTCAATATGATTAGTCCCAGAATCAGTGCTATAAAACCCAGAATCAGCATGGCAATTTTCCAGGTAGAGCCTTAAAGGACAGAGATAGTAATTAGTATCAGTAATTCACACAGGATTTTAGGAATTATCTATTGGGACAACACTCCAGTGCAGTGCTGGGTGTGAGCTGTTGGAGGTGCCGTCCTTCAGATTAAACATTAAATCAAGGTGCGGTTTGCCTATTCAGGTAGACGTTAAAGATCCCATGCCATGATTTGAAAAGTGAAATTAGTTTCTCTCAGTATCTTGGCTAACATCTCACAAATAAAATTGGTCACTCACTTCAGGGCTGTATATGGGACATTGCTGTGTGCAAATTGGCTGCCAAGTTTGTCTATTGAAATGGATAAAAACATTTTTCATGATGTCCTCACAACATGAAAGGCGCTAAATCAAATACAAGGATTCTTATTGTCATAAACAAAGTTAAAATACAAATTACAATCTGACCAGCAGGGACACGCAGGAAGGAGATTTATATAATCAATAGATATCATCTGAAACCGTCCTTAATTTACAGATAACTTTATTCTTATTCTGACGGCTATTAGCTGTGAGTTGGGAATCTTAGAGTTCAGGAGAAGTGAACCTGAGATTTGGTATTCTTTTGTAAGCTTCACATAAGCAATTTGTTGGCTATTCTCCTTTGTTAAATAAATTAAATAAATAAAGCCTTGAAAACACAAATTTATCCGGTGAAGATAAGGAGAAAAACCTCCCTTCTCTTTTCAAATAGTGTCTTAGGATCTTTACTGTCCACCTGAACAGGCAGCAGGACTATGTTTCTCCAGCAATGCACTGGAGTGTCCGAGTCGAGAATGTGACTTCAAAGTCCTGACATGGATCTTAAAAAGAACATCATTCTCACCACAATACCTCCTGACTTACCATCGTCCGTCCTGGTGATCCTCACGGTTCTATCATGTTCTCTTGCTGATGTGATGACTTCAAAAACAGGGTAGGTGGTGTAAGATGCGGCACTTGTCCTAGAAATTTGGGTTGATTGTTCAGTTTGTCTTGTCTGGGCTTCTGAAACATCGGCGAGAGAACCTGGAAATCAAAGAGCTAACAATCGACTCATATTCCTTGGTACCTATCAGGTTCTGATGTAAAAGTAATGAGAATCGACCCAAAAATGTCTTCATAAAATGATACAACTAAATGGGATGAGCGAGTCAGTAATAACAACCACAAAAGGTTAGACAAAAAGTATTAGAAAAGCCCAACATAGTCGATATGTCCGTGCCTTGTTGATGGTTCTTGACCCTAGATACTTGCCCTCCCGGCACATCCTCAATCTCCTCGATTTCCAGAACCCATTTCTAAAGGGATCTTCCAGCAGCTGCAGTATTTTGTTTTATACAGGGATCTTGTTCGTGATATTCACTAAAGGTGGGGGGTGGGGTGGGTGGTGGTGGTGGCGAGTGAACACTGATTGCGATTTCACGAAAGCCATACAACTTACTGTCACAAAATATAGTGTAAAATGAATTGATTGTTTATTTTGTGGGCGAAACGCAGCAGTCAATTGCTCACAGCAGTACCCCACAAATAGATGTGGATTTACCAAGTGAAATGAAGGAAGGAAGTGGATTGATTGTAAGGATGATGTCTCAGAGCTCTCTGCAGGATTTGCTGTGAAATGTATTGAAATGTTCTTCATTTCTAAATCGTCAGTCCAGCTCTCCAAGGGTTAAAGGTCCAATTTATTCTTTGCATAAACCCTTTCAATAAATAGAGCAGCTGGGAAGGAGAAATACACCACAAGAATGTGCTTACTCCATAGCAACACCAAAAGTGGGACAAAGAATCTAACAAAGTAATAAAGAACCTTTCAAATTAGCCATAGCCACCAAACAAAAACAAAAGACAAAATATCCGCAGTCTGGTTCGTTTTGCACCGAAATTGCGATGCCGTTAACAGATCCAGACTTGGAAGAAAGAATCTCAAAGTACCTCTATCTCTAGAGAAAGGGCTGCTGTTGTGGTTGCTCTTCCGTGCACCAGTAATCGCTGCAAGACTAGTCTGCATTACTGCTCTGAATATTCAAGCACATTTACAGTCAAGTCACTAACACGAGCACTGAACTAACAAACAGCTGACTTGCCCCGTGAGGGACTGTAAGGCTGCACGATGTCATTTATGGGTCCCTTCGCCTCCCTCTCTCCCTTGCCTCCTTCAACGCCCATCTTAAGACCCTCCTCTTTGACCGCGCCTTTGGTCACCCTCCTACTCTCCCTGCCCTCCACCCTCCCAATCCCACTCCACTGCTCGGGTGCAATTCCCTGACTGTCCAGTGCCTTGGGTTGTCCTTCGACGTGAAAGGCGCTATGCAAATGTAATTTGCTGTTATTGTTGTTGCTGTTGTAAGAACGGGCCCTGAATCTATGATTGCTTATTGAACTTGCCCCCTCCTCCCTCCACCCTGCCCCTTCCTCCCTCCATCTTGCCCCGTCCTTCCCTATTTTCAGATCATGCCTTCAATGGTTAAGATTTTCCTCTTCCACCGTGCCTTCGGTGTTGTGCTCCGCCACTGTCAAGTGGACCGAAACACTATCCTGCATGAAGGACGCTAGATAAATGCAAGTTGGTGTTTGAAAACTTGAAAACTTGTGATCTCAGGCACGCAGAGCCAGGCTAAGCTGGTTGCCTTCAAGGAGGGAGAGAAAAATCAGGGGAGTCACTCAGGTGACAATGTTGCCCAGTGGTCACACAGCTGGACGCATCAAATGGCTGGCTATCCTTTCATCAGTAAAATGTTACACAACAGGAAAGATCTGAGTAAAAATGCAAAACAAAGTTATCCTTTTATCTCACAAAACCTATTTAAAACCACTTTTTCTCTATTCCTTGGGTCCTTCAAAGTAACAATTGAATAACCAATGCTTTCTGTAACTAATAATCCCTCCAAAAAAACAAAACAATAATAAATTGGTCATTTTCAATCCATGACTGTTTGTGGGACACTGCTGTGCACAATTGGCTGCCACGTTCGCCAACAAATATACAGTCAATTCACTTTACAGTATATTCTGTGAAGCGCTTTGGGACGTCTAGAAGATGTAAAAAGCGCTATATCAAATGCAAGGATTATTATTATAGATGCAAATCATCAAGAATCATTTCAACACTTACAGACTTATTCTTGGCTACGTTATCTAATCTAAAGAGCAGGGGAGAAAAAGCTTGATGGTCACAGTGCCTTGAAGTTAATATCTGTAAACCCAATCTGTGAAGTTAATTTAAAAGCACAGGCAAAACAAATACAATTGAACTACAGTATTTCTATTCTACTAGATGTGACTGTGAAGGTTTCTACAGCTGAAAGATGGATGAGGGTTACGTGAGTTGATTGAGATTCTCTATGTTAAGCCTACAAATAATCAGGCATTTGGTCTTCTGAATGCCAGAGTTAGGTAGATCTTACTTTCCGTCTGACGTAGCTCTGAGACCGTCACCTCGAGAGGACTCTCTTGTTGGTGTGTGTCATGGTTGGCTTCACCACAGATAGACTTTTCTTTCATAGTTCTCCATTTGCTCGATTTGCCTTTTTCACTCGACACGTACATTTTGTGTGTCCTGTGCCTTACGTTGAGGTGTAAGCTGAAACCTTCTAGAGTTAAGTGACCCCGTTTGCTGCAGGCCCATGCTTGAGGTTGACCGTTGCCACAGGGCCCCAGTCTGACGTGCCCCAACTCTTTTGCTTTAAGCACCATCAGGCACCACTTTGTGGCAAGACTGATGATGGACTTTGTGCGGAAGTCCCATCTCCAATGCTGGTGCTCAGATTCTGGGTTGCAGTCAGCCAGAGATACTCTGATGCTCTCATTGTTTGCATGGATGCATTTGTCTAGACGGACATTCTTGATGCTGAAACCTACAACATTTAATAGTGGAAGTAGAATTTTAAAAAGGCAAAACGTTAACACACCAAAGAGGAATATTCAACTCTATAGACACACATATTGGTTACAATACTATGTCAAGAGAAAAGCCACCACTTATTCAAAGCGTTTCCCTGGATCTTGTAGTGTCCCTCATGTGTAGAATAATTCAATTATATCAGTATCCATGTCAAAACAATCTGATTTAAGATAGAACAGCACTGGAATTAGCAGTAATATGTAAAAATCAGAACAAAGTTATTTATTCAAGCAGCACTCGCCTCGAAAGCAAGAGACCTGGGTTCGATTCCTAGCAGGTCGAAACATTGGGCAAGTTTCCTTACTCCACACGTCGGATAATAATCCCTCAAGAAAAAAAAATAATAATTTGGTCACTCAACCCATGACTGTTTGTTAGACATTGCTGCGTGCAATTGGCTGCCGCGTTTTGCTCACAAATATACAGTCAATTCACTTTACAGTATATTCTGTGAAGCGCTTTGAGACGTCTAGAAGACGTGAAAAGCTCTATATCAAATGCAAGGATTATTATTGTTATTATATTTGCAACCTTCTTGAGTTCCTGGGAATGAAGGAGTTAGAATAGAAGTGGTGCTATGAGTATTGATTTCACCAAATTGAGGATGCAGGGAGTAGGAAGAATGGATATGCCAATTTATATGGAGCTTTACAGGAAGAAGAAAGACAACCTCCTGATGTGGAAGATGCTATACAAAATGCAAGTGTTATTACTATCTGCATCTTCATTTTCTTTCTCTTGCTTTGCAGAATGACATTTGGTAATTCATAACTGATGGTAACAATAACAACAAAATTACATTTGTAAAGCACATTTCACGTAGGGAGGACGCCCCAAGGTGCTCAACAGTCAGTGATCATGACCCGAGCATGGGGGGGGGGGGGCAGGGTTGGGATGAGGGAGGGCTGAGGGAGTAGGAGGGCGGCTGAAGGCATAGTCAAAAACGAGGGTCTTGAGTCGTGCATTGAAGGAGGCAAGAGAGGGAGTGAGGTAAGGGATTGTGGGATAGAGTTCCAAAGAGCGGGAACAGAGAGACAGAGAGACTGAAAGCCTGGCCACTGATGGGTCAGGTCCCGGGTCAGGCGGGAGACCTGGAGACCTGGCAGAGGGAGCAGACAGGTTGATAAGGGGTCATCAGGTCAGAGATGTAGGGGGGGCAAGGCCATGGAGGGCCTTGAAAGTGAGGACGAGGATTTTGAATTCTATCCACTGATTGATGGGGAACCAGTGGAGTCGGGCGAGGGTGGGGGTGATGGGGTCACAGAGCCTGGTGCAGGAGAGAGTTCTGAATGATTTGCAGCTTGTGGAGGGAAGATTTGGCGAGGCCAACAAGGAAGGAGTTCATATAAACCCTATAAAAATGCAATTTCTTTCTTTCTTTCTTTCTTTCTTTCTTTCTTTCTTTCTTTCTTTCTTTCTTTCTTTCTTTCTTTCTTTCTTTCTTCTTTCTTTCTTTCTTTCTTTCTTTCTTTCTTTCTTTCTTTCTTTCTTTCTTTCTTTCTTTCTTTCTTTCTTTCTTTCTTTCTTTCTTTCTTTCTTTCTTTCTTTCTTTCTTTCTTTCTTTCTTTCTTTCTTTCTTTCTTTCTTTCTTTTCTTTCTTTCTTTCTTTCTTTCTTCTTCTTTCTTCTATATTCTAGAGAATATAGGCCCAAATGGTCAGCCTATCCTCGTAACTCATCCCCTTCATCCCTGGTACTAACCTAGTAAATCTACGCTGCACCCCCTCCAAGGCAAGTACATCCTTCCTTAAATAAGGAGACCAAAAACTGCACACAGTATTCCAGGTGTGGTCTCACCAGGCCTATACAGTTACAGCAAGACTTCCCTACTCTTATACTCTAATCCTTTCATAATGAATGCTAACATACCGTTTGCCTTCCTAATTGCTGCTGGCATCTGCAGACTAACTTTCTGTGATTGGTGTACATGGACACCCAGTCCCTCTGGACACTAACACATTCCAATCTCTCCCATTCAAAAAATAACCCGCTCTACTGTTTTTGGCTACCTAGTTGGATGACTTCGCACTTCCCTACATTATACTTCATCTGGCCACCTACCTGCCCAATCACCTAACCTATCTATGTCTCGCTGCATTTTTTTTAATGTCGTCCTCTGTGTTGACACTTCCTCCTAGTTTTGTGTCATCCGCGAATTTAGCTATATTAACTTCAATGTCCTCATCTAGATCGTTGATGTAGATGGTAAATAGCTGAGGCTCAAGAACTGATCCTTGTGGCACTCCAGTAGTCACATCCCGCCAATCTGAAAAGGACCCCGTTTATCCCTACTCCTTGTTTCCTACCCGTTAACCATTCCCCAATCCACGTTAATATGCTCCCCCCAATTCCATGGGCCCTTATCTTTTGGACTAACCTTTTATGTGGCACCTTATCAAATGCCTTCTGGAAGTCCAAATAGACCCTGGGATCCAAGCCATCCGGTCCAGGGGATTTGTCACTTTTTAGTGCTAACAGTTTCCCTAGCACCAATTCTCTAATAATGAAAATTTCCCTAAGTTGCTCCCTGTCCTTATCCCCTTGGTGCATCTCTTTTCTTGGCAGACTTGTTGTGTCTTCTAGAGTGAAGACACACACTCTGGGGTCCCCAGGCCTTGGCTCTTGCCAACCTTCACCTAATAGTCTCCAGGATTAGTTAAGCAGGATGCTTCCTTTCAGGGAGAGAATGAGCATTCTTTTTCGATAAATATCTTGGGAATCTCCATGTGTAAGTGGGATGCGTGAAACTCTCAGTTTGGTTTGGACTTGAAGCACAGTGATGGTTTCCGCGTGTGTCAAAAAAAAAAATTCCAATTTGTAACCAAAAGCTCATCTGGACACAGGGAAAGATAAATCTAGGGTTGGAAGAAATATCCTACATAATTAATCTTTCTAAAGGCATTACAACATTAACTAATCCTTAAATGATAAGAATAAAACACAAAGATCTGCATCGTTAATAAGGACTAAAAGGCAGTGGCAGCATAGGGATTTACCTGAATCAATACTAATATTACACGTAATACGCCAGACACAACTTTAATAGTTTGTACAACAACAACAACAAAATTACATTTATAGAGCTCCTTTCACGTCGGGGAGGACGTTCCAAAGCGCTGAAACAGGATTGCTTATTACTCAAACTCTTTAAATGACTCGATTTTTTGGAAGATTTCCCAGTACAAGTGCTGTCCCCCTGTCCTCCTAAATTAATCTACAAATAAAATATTTTAGAATGTTATTGATATACAATAATAATAATCCTTCAATTTGGAAAGTGCCTTTCAAGTCGAGAGGGCTGTACAATATTTAGCACAGTTTGCCTAAAGAAGTGTCTTCAGGAGAAAATGCTGATCATAATGAGAATAACCAATTTTGTTTCTATCAGGGAAATCAACATAAAACAGTTCATAGCTTATCACATGTCACTTCACACGAGGGAGAGGTGAATAGAAGGGTATGGAAGGAGTAAGGAATGGGTGAAGACTTGTGTGGAGTATAAACACTGGCAGGGACTGGTTGGTCTGATTGACCTGTTTCCGTCCTGTACATTCTCTGTAAATCTTTGTAAAGTGAAGCAGTAGCAGAGACTGAGAGGAGGAGAATGTTGGAGGGAAGAAGCCACTGAACCAGATGCTGTTTCATAAATAAATAAAAAAATAAACAAACCGATAAACAAAAAGTAAATACATCTACTTAATATATTCTTATATTTTTGTATATATTCAATATATTCTGCTTCATAAATAAATAAATAAATCCACTTTACAATATATTCTGTGAGACTTCTCCTTTTCAGAGCTCATTGTCTCAGAGCCAAAGCAAAGTTTATTTCCTGTTGGTGTCAGCTCGTGCCTCCATATATTAAACGACCACGGCAAAGCCTGGCACTGACTCACTGTGGGGAATTTTACTGTGCCAGGCTGTGCCCTGTGGACTGAGGACTCACCTCTAAGAGACGGAGGCATCACGTCCAGGAAGAAAGTATTTTGAAGGAAAGAACTCTCCTATATAAGTTATAAAGATCTCAAAACGATTTATCTTGGGTAGACACTCCTTTCTCTATTGAATAGCAGCCATGATGCAGTGGAGACCGTGGTTTAATGTTTCATCTGAAGGGCAGCTCTCCATTCTCCATTAGTGGGCTGCAGTGTATACAACTGGATTATGATATTAAATCCACATTGAACTCACACCCTTTTCTCCCAGAAGTGAGCATGCTAAGAGCCAAGCTAATACAGTGTAATAATCATAATTGTTGCATTTAGAGTCCAGTAGCTCAGTGGTTAGAGCATTCGCCTCATAAGCAGAGAGACCTGGGTTCAATTCCCAACAGGGCAA